AACACAATTAAGGACTCAACTTTTCCAAGAAGCTGTTTTTTTTTTTTAATTTTTTAATTTTTTTTTAAAATTAAGCAACCCCAAACTGGCCATAATTAGGTTTTCAAAAATATATTAATGCTCATAGAAGTTGAACAAAATACCTTTTATTTATAAATAAAGAGATAAACATCACTACACAGTATGTGTTACAACTTACAACTGATTCTTAATAATCTTTAGATGATTGCCCCAAAGAGATAAAACGTATAGTTCACCAGCATTATTACAACTTACAACTGATTATTTAGATTATTTGATAAATTTGAACATAAAAATAAATGAGAAATGAAGAAGAGGGGTTGAGATAGTGATATTTAAGAAGAAGGATTGACAATTACACACATTTGGGACAACCGTTAGAATGAGTGGAAGAGGATCCTCTCCGGGTTCACTTTGTGGGGGATCTTAGAGATCTCCACATCCCAATCCTTCATCGTACAGCGGGCCGTCAATTTTCGTTAGGTACTATTTGTGTTTAATTTTAAATAAAACAAGTCAAATGATTTTTGACCGAACGATGCACGATGAATAGCTAAGATGTGAAGATCACCACAATTTCCACAATTTGGATCCGAATGCGATTCAAATCCAGAAGGTGCGGGGTGGGCTCCATAAAACAAAGTGGTGCACTGTACTAGCTGGCGACAATTAAAGACTTTTGACTTGGAATGAGTAAATTTATGGAAGACTCCAGAGGAAAAATTATTAATTGGAAAAACTTTTTTGTGGTCTGAGAGACACTGAGTCATGAAGATGTCATTTTCTTGTGAAATACAAAATATTTTGTCACAATCATATGAAATAAAGGAGAATACTAAAAATTAAACTGGAAGTATCAATTAAGATCATGAAGCTCTTATTCTTTGAAGAAAAAAATTGAAAAAAATTGCCAACTTGCATTTATGGCCCTTGACTTGGACTTTGGCCAGATTGCCAAATTGCCAAACTGCATTGGTGGAAGACTTTAACGTCAACTTCTTTTGTTTTTTTTTTTCTCCTCTCAAACGATAGATTTGTTTGATTAGGGAGCCGATGAGATTTGAACCCACACTATGGTGCAAGGGTAACACTCCTCTCTACCACTGTGGTAGAAGGCCACTTGCTACTCTAAAATCGACTTGGACTTTGGCCAAAATGCCAAATTGCATTTATATAAAAGACTCCAAAGTCATCCAAGTTGCCAAATTGCATTTGTGGAACTCCAAGGACCATGTACAATTATTGGTTTAAAACTCAAATTTTGAGTTTCAAAATGTTAAAACTTGCTTTGGGCCAAATTCTCACCTCCCCTCCCAAAAAAAATTAAGCCAAGGATAGTGGTGGCCCAAGCTCCAAAGCGTGAAAGCGCCAACAAAGTGCCCATCTATAGCTAAGCAACGCATCAGAAGCATCTCATGCGACAAGTCATCAACTCTTGGGTCCCAAACGACTACCCACTAGCATAACTAGTCTTTTAGTGATCCAACGATTGGAAACGATGGGCAATTGGTTGATCCAAAAGTCCATATTTAAATTTTTTGAAATCAAATTTATAATTAAATTAAATCGAACGGCTGAATTCTTATATTAAATTAACTGTAAAAAAAAGGTCTAACGGTCCAAAATTAAATTGAACGGCTAAAACATTTAAAAGAAATTATTTAAATCAAAATTCACCCAAAAACTCTATAAATACATGTATTTGTTCAAACATCCATCCAAAATTCACTTTCCTCAAACAATTCTTCCATTTTTTCTACCAACTTCCAAAATTTTCAAGATGGCAAAAGATCATATTAGAAGGAGGACCCTTACAAGATGACATTCGATTTTGATGTAATGAGGGAGGACCCCAACAAATACACTTCAAATAGGAAAAAATTATTCCGCGACAAGCAAGTGGAAATTATAAGAAGGAATGCCGTAAGGAATATCGTTGAGGATGATGACCAATATAATGTCTATTACCCAAGTCCACCACGAAATCCACCATAAATTCAAGGACCAAGTCAACCAAATGTTGATGAATATTATTAGTATTAGTAATTGTTGTAATTCTTATGTAATATTTTACTTATCTTTTATTTATCTTTATTTAGCATTTTAATTATGTTTGTGTTATTAATTATTGTAAGATTGAAGCATACTATATAGATGACACATCCCGACTTGAAATGTCCACTAGGACTTCGAATCGAGCTATGCTAGCCGACACCTGGAAGGTGACGAAGCCATAAAGTGTAGTGATGTGGAAAATGTAAATAAATTTAAACCTAAAAGTGCCTAAAGATAAGAGTGCGCTAGTGAGCAGGATTGAACCCATTTCACACGTGACGTTAGAGCATAAGAACTGTAGATTAAATAGGGTGAGGGTTATACCATTGAAGATAACCATTAACTGAGATTTGCCAGAGTCCTCGTTTAAACGTAAACACAACTACTAAACCTAGAGGGGCGAAAAACAGAAGGGTGAGTGGGCACAAAAATAAAGGATTATAAAATCCGTTTATTTTCCCGAACATACTAACCCTTCGCTGTAAAACATTTATTGTTTCAAAAATATCATACTACGTATAAGTATGAAAATCAAATGATGCCAAATGTAAGTCTAGAAGTACGCCACAACAAATATTCTCAACAACAGTATAGATACGATTACGTGTTGCAATCTATACTAACATATTAGTCGGAGTCACCTAATGTGACCTGTCCGACTGCACCTATCGCTTATCCATCTAGGCTAACACATGTTTCGGAGTCACCTAATGTGACATGTAAGACAGGGCTAGGTGTAATAATACACGCTCTAGTGCTACGATCACATGAACACTAGCCTTGGCCCGGGGCAAGCACTAACACAAGTGCGGCAATGATGGGCGAACTATATGTAAGCATGCCATAATAATTCAACCATTCAATTCATCACATAACCTTACCTGGACTTACCTGCGTGTCTCGCGTTCATATTAACATTTCAAACCATTCACTTCAATTACATGCAGGTAATATGCTTATGGGTATGCCATGATGCAATATAAAACTCAACAACATTATAGCATATAAAAAAAAAAAATTCATGGCATAAATGTATAAAATCATATAAAAACATTTATGGAAACTATAAAGTATATATGTAATATACAAAAACAAAATGCCCACCTTCATTTAGCACGAGGCCTTTTGGGAACTCATTGGCTTCGGGTTTCATCGGAACTCCGAAGTTAAATGAATTCGGGTGAGAGCAATCCTAGGATGGGTGACCCACTGGGAACTTCTCGTCTGAGTTCCCATAAACAAAACCATGAAGGCGTGGTCGAGGCCCAAAACGGACAATATCGTGCTACGGCAGAGCCAGTCTAGGATGTGACAGAATGGTATCAGAGCCACTCTGCTGTGTGGTGCGAGTGTGCCTATGAGGGCGTCGGGCCTTTAAGGGGGGTCGATTGTAACATCCCACATTGACCAATGGAGATAGGGTGATGTGCCTTATATGTACATGCCCACCTCCATATAACACAAGGCCATCAGAACTTCGAAGTTAAGCGAAATTGGGCGAGAGCATGCCCATGATGGGTGATCCATTGGGAAGTTCTCGCGTGAGTTCTCAGAAACAAAACCGTGATGGCGCGGTTGGGGCCCAAAGAGGATAATTTCATGCTACGGTGGAGTCGAGCCCGGGATGTGACAATTTGGTATTAGAGCCAATCTTTGGCTGAAAGTGTGCCGACGAGGACGTCGGGCCCCTAAGGGGTGGATTGTTAGATCCCTCATCGCCCAGGGGAACGGATCCTCTATGCCTTATATATACATGCCCACCTTCATACAGCACGAGTCCTTTTGAGAGTTCACTAGCTTCAGTGAGAGCATTCCAAGGATGGGTGACCCACTCGGAAATTCTCGCGTGAGTTCCCAGAAACAAAACTATGAGGGCATGGTTGGGGCCCAAAGCGGACAATATCGTGCTACAGTGGAGTGGAGCCCAGGATGTGGTGGAGCCCGGATCGGGATGTGACAATAGAACTATTTGAAGTTTCAAAGTTTTAATCCTTATCTTTATAAAAATCTAATTATTATTCCATGACTTCCATGTTTCAAGGGGCAGGTTTATAGGAATTTAAATATTTTTAAGTTAAAATGTTCACAAAACTTAATCAAGATAATTTACATAAATTTTACTTTTAAAAAAATTAACCGACAAAAAATTAAGCTAAAATCATTCTTTAATAATCTCGACCTAAAATTTTTAGCCAAAACTATTGGAGGATAAAAATTATTTTTGAGTTAAAACCTAAATTTTTAGCCAAAACTATTGTTGTATTATTTTTTTTTTTCAAAACTGCTTATACCATGTTGTGAGAATAAATAGTTGTGAAAAGAGTAGGGAAGTGTAATGGTAAATTATAGTGCTAAAAGTGTTTTTAGAAGAAAAAAATGATGGGATAGGATTGTCAATATGAAAGTTTCATTAATTACTTGCGTCCCTTGGAAAAAAAACGCTTTTTTGAGAAGCATGTGTAGATTTGCTTCTGTTTTTAGCTGTTTTAGACCTATGATTTGGGGGACAAAAATAATAAAAAAACTTTTTTTTATTTACCAAACAAAATTAAGGACTCAACATTTTAAAGAAAGTTGGTTTTAAAAATTTTAAGCAACCTTAACCTAGCCATAATTAAGTTTTCAAAATTATTATTGCTCGTAAAAGTTGAACACAATACCTTTTATTGATAAATAAAAAGGTAAATATCACTACACATTACATGTTACAACTGATTCTTAATAATCTTTAGATGATTGCTCCAAAGAGATAAAACATAAAGTCCACTAGCATTTCCCAAATTTTCTTTTATTTGATAAGTGAACTTATGACACCAAATGGAATAACTTTAATGAGAAGAAGAAAAATTGACAATTACACACATTTGGGACTAAGTACATTGTATATTATAGGAAACAACCGTTAGAAGGAGAGGGGTGGGCCCCATACAATTACACGCATTTGGGACAAAGACTTTGACTTATCTTGTACGTACAAAACATTTTGCAAGTCCTGTATCTTTCTTCTCTCCCACCCCCTCTTTCGGTACGGGTTGAATTGAATTAATTACAATAGCTCATGGATGCCATTATAAATAAGCCCTAGGAGTAGAGTCTAATATGTACACAAAATTAAACGCTAGCGGCCATGACATCTTTAGAGTTTCATAAACTCTGCCTTTTGGCTTATTGCCTTGTCTTATTCGTACAACTTCTTTCACCACCAAGTTGCTCTGCTTTTGCTTCTGCTACTTCTACCACGGAAGCAGAAGCGCTTCTCAAATGGAAAGCCACCTTTCAAAACCATACCCGCCTGCAAAATCTCACCTTTTGGGCTTACCTACCTGCTCATGCAAAAGCAGCCCCATGCTTCTGGACTGGTATTTCATGCAATGTTGTTGGAAGTGTCAGTGTGATAAACCTTACCAATTTTGGGATACAAGGTACGCTACATGAGTTTTCCTTCTTGTCTTTCCCCAATCTTCAATACCTCAATCTTAGCTACAATAATCTCTTTGATGTCATTCCAGCTAAAATCAGTTCCCTCTCCAAACTCATCTCCCTTGATCTTTCTAACAATTGGCTCAGTGGTTCAATCCCAACATCCCTAGGTTAGCTCACAAACCTTTCCACTCTCTATCTCTTCCGTAATAATCTTTCTGGCACTATTCCTAAAGAGATAGGGAATTTGAAATCTCTTGTAGACCTAGAATTGTATGAGAATCAGCTCAATGGTTTAATCCCAGCATCCCTAGGTCAGCTCACAAACCTTTCCACTCTCTATCTCGGTAGTAATAATCTTTCTGGCACTATTCCTAAAGAGATAGGGAATTTGAAATCTCTTGTGGACCTAGAATTGTCTGAGAATCAGCTCAGTGGTTCAATCCCAACATCCCTAGGTCAGCTCACAAACCTTTCCACTCTCTATCTCCATAGTAATAATCTTTCTGGCACTATTCCTAAAGAGATAGGGAATTTGAAATCTCTTGTGGACCTAGAATTGTCTTATAACCAGCTCATCGGTTCAATCCCAACATCTCTAGGTCAGCTCACAAACCTTTCCACTCTCTATCTCGGTAGTAATAATCTTTCTGGCACTATTCCTAAAGAGATAGGGAATTTGAAATCTCTTGTGGACCTAGAATTGTCTTATAACCAGCTCATCGGTTCAATCCCAACATCTCTAGGTCAGCTCACAAACCTTTCCACTCTCTATCTCGATAGTAATAATCTTTCTGGCACTATTCCTAAAGAGATAGAAAATTTGAAATCTCTTGTGGACCTAGAATTGTCTGAGAATCTGCTCAGTGGTTCAATCCCAACATCCCTAGGTCAGCTCAAAAGCCTTTCCACTCTCTATCTCTTCCGTAATAATCTTTCTGGCACTATTCCTAAAGAGATAGGGAATTTGAAATCTCTTGTGAACCTAGAATTGTCTTATAACCAGCTCATCGGTTCAATCCCAACATCTCTAGGTCAGCTCTCAAACCTTTCCACTCTCTATCTTGGTAGTAATTATCTTTTTGGCACTATTCCTAAAGAGATAGGGAATTTGAAATCTCTTGTGGACCTAGAATTGTCTGAGAATCAGCTCAGTGGTTCAATCCCAACATCCCTAGGTCAGCTCACAAACCTTTCCACTCTCTATCTCCATAGTAATAATCTTTCTGGCACTATTCCTAAAGAGATAGGGAATTTGAAATCTCTTGTGGACCTAGAATTGTCTTATAACCAGCTCATCGGTTCAATCCCAACATCTCTAGGTCAGCTCACAAACCTTTCCACTCTCTATCTCGGTAGTAATAATCTTTCTGGCACTATTCCTAAAGAGATAGGGAATTTGAAATCTCTTGTGGACCTAGAATTGTCTTATAACCAGCTCATCGGTTCAATCCCAACATCTCTAGGTCAGCTCACAAACCTTTCCACTCTCTATCTCGATAGTAATAATCTTTCTGGCACTATTCCTAAAGAGATAGAAAATTTGAAATCTCTTGTGGACCTAGAATTGTCTGAGAATCTGCTCAGTGGTTCAATCCCAACATCCCTAGGTCAGCTCAAAAGCCTTTCCACTCTCTATCTCTTCCGTAATAATCTTTCTGGCACTATTCCTAAAGAGATAGGGAATTTGAAATCTCTTGTGAACCTAGAATTGTCTTATAACCAGCTCATCGGTTCAATCCCAACATCTCTAGGTCAGCTCACAAACCTTTCCACTCTCTATCTTGGTAGTAATTATCTTTTTGGCACTATTCCTAAAGAGATAGGGAATTTGAAATCTCTTGTGAATCTCAGTTTGTATGAGAATCAGCTCAGTGGTTCAATCCCAACATCCCTAGGTCAGCTCACAAACCTTTCCACTCTCTATCTCTATAGTAATAATCTTTCTGGCACTATTCCTAAAGAGATAGGGAATTTGAAATCTCTTGTGGACCTAGAATTGTCTGAGAATCAGCTCAGTGGTTCAATCTCAACATCCCTAGGTCAACTCACAAACCTTTCCACTCTCTATCTCTTCCGTAATAATCTTTCTGGCATTATTCCTAAAGAGATAGGGAATTTGAAATCTCTTGTGGGCCTAGAATTGTCTTATAACCAGCTCATCAGTTCAATCCCAACATCTCTAGGTTAGCTCACAAACCTTTCCACTCTCTATCTCAGTAGTAATAATCTTTCTGGCACTATTCCTAAAGAGATAGGGAATTTGAAATCTCTTATGGCCTTACAATTGTATGAGAATCAACTCAGCGGTTCAATGCCCCAAAATATTTGTTGTAGTGGACAACTCCAAAACCTTTCAGTGATAAATAACCGTTTGACAGGTCCAATCCCCAAAAGCTTGAAAACATGCAAGAGCTTAGTTAGAGTTCATCTTGAAGGGAACCAATTCACAGGGAATATATCAAAAGACTTTGGTGTTTATCCAAATCTTGATTTCATAGATATGAGTCATAATAAGTTTTATGGTGAAATTTCACAAAAATGGGGACAGTGCGCAAAATTAGAAACCTTACTAATTATGGGAAACAACCTCACTGGCAGCATACCTCCGGAGATTGTCAATGCTGACAAAATCCATAAACTCGACCTCTCTTCAAATCACTTAGTTGGGGCCATTCCGAAGGAGTTCGGGAGAATGACTTCTTTGCAGAAGTTGATGCTGAATGAAAATCAACTTTCAGGCTATATACCTTCGGAATTTGGATCACTCGTTGATCTTGAATATCTTGACTTGTCATCAAACAAATTCAATGGGTCAATTGCGAGCACATTTGGCAACTTTCTCATACTGTACCATCTGAATTTGAGCAACAATCAATTTTCCCAAGGAATTCCATTGAAGTTGGAAAAGTTAGTTCAATTGAACGACCTTGATTTAAGTCACAACTCACTTGAAGGTAGCATACCCGCTGAAATCAGCAATATGGAGAGTCTACAGATGCTCAATCTTTCTCACAACAATCTTTCGGGTTTCATACCATCAAGTTTTGAAGGCATGCATGGCTTGCCATATGTGGATGTATCTTACAATGAATTGGAAGGTCCCCTTCCCAACAACAGAGCCTTTCGACAAGCTCCGCCAGAAGCTTTACAAGGGAACAAAGGACTGTGCGGCAACGTTGAAGGTTTGCAATCTTGCACAATTGGCCCAAGAAAGGAACACAAATGGGTATTTGGAATCACATTCTCCCTTGTAGCAGCAATTTTACTTATTTCTGCTTTCTTTACAATTAAATTCGTAGTGCAAAGAAAGAATAAAAGTCCAGAAAAAGCAGAAAAAAACTTGCATGAAGAAATATCGTTTTCAGTTTTAAATTTTGATGGAAAGTCAATGTATGAGGAAATCATAAGGGCGACAGAAAATTTTGATTCCACATAACGCATCGCGAGTGGAGCACAAGGAAGTGTCTACAAAGCAAATTTGTCAAGTGACAACATAGTGGCTGTGAAAAAAATACATCAATTGTGGGATGGTGAGAAGAATTTGGAGACGGCATTCTTGAATGAAATAAGGGCACTAACAGAGATAAGACACCAGAATATTGTGAAGCTTTATGGTTTCTGTTCACACCATCGACACTCGTTCTTGGTGTACAAGTTTGTTGAAAGAGGTAGCTTGGCTACAATTTTGGGCAAAGATGAAGAAGCTAAAGAAGTAGGGTGGAGAAAAAGGGTTAATATTGTTGACGGTGTAGCTCATGCCTTGGCATACATGCACCACGATTGCTTGCCACCAATTGTGCACTGGGACATATCAACTAAGAATATTTTGTTGGATTCTAAATATGAGGCCTCTGTTTCAGATTTTGGCACTGCTAAGTTTTTGAATCCAGGCTCAACAACTTGGACTGCCGTTGCAGGCACATATGGGTATGTCGCACCAGGTAATATGTTTTCTTCCTTTTAACCTTATTAATTGAGTGTTGATTATGATTAATTTTTTGGCAAAATTTATTTCTTTTCAACGTTAGGACGGATTAAACATACCATGTTACATGCTGTGATTTTGAAAGAACATTCACCTAACGTATAAGCGATACTTGGGTTTATTGTATGCTCTTATAAGTTAGCACCCTCTTTCCTTAAAGCTAAAACATAAAATAAAAAAAAAGTAAAAAATAATAATAATAAAAAAATGGAAAAAAAAACCAATTATAAACATGCGAACTATAGTAACATCTAATTTAATAAGTAATATCAATCGAGATGTTAATGAATTACTAAAAACTATCTAATTAAAACAACATGTAGTAAACATGGAAACTGCAGTAAGAAAACAAATACCATGTAAGATTTACCTCTTTTGCCAAAAAGCCAATCTCTAATACATAACAATGCTTGAACGGTTTCAGGCAATAAACAACTACGATATTGATCGAGCACTCTAGCACTATTGGCAGTTGTTTGTTTAGTGTATTTTAGGGTTTCGATGACTGAGGTTGATGTCTTAGTGACATGTTGTCAACTCCTTAATTCATGGGGTTGGTATTACTTCCCAAAGTATGGTGTAAGGGTTTCAAGGATGGGTTGTCATCCTCACTTTAGCTAAAGTTATGGGCTAAAGTGATGGTCTTAACCCTACTCTTGTCTTACCATACCTTGTCTTGTCTCATGTCCTTATTTTATTTTGCTTCTCACGGGTCTAGGGCAGGAACCAAGGGATCGTGTTTTGTTTTCTCCCGTATGGCTTCTCTTTGTAGTTCCTTATAAGAGTGTTCTCACTCTCTTGTAATCTTTACAATGAATATACAAGAAAATCTTTGAAAAGCAACATGGTATCAGAGCAGGAACTTTAACCTGCTCCTGCTATACTGCTTTCCTTAGTTTTCACTCTCAAAAATGTCTCAAGAAAATCCGGCAGCCTCAACGGCTGATAGCTCCCCGGAAATTTCCTCCGTAATTGCACAGGAAGTGGATGTCAATCCAAATCAAAGGTTAAGCTCAGTCGTATTAAACGAGTTCAATTACTTGCCATGGTCAAGAGCTGTATCGTTGGCGTTGGGTGGCAGGTCCAAGTTAGGGTTCATAAATGGAAGCATCAAAGTCCCTGAGGCTTCCTCATCAAACTATGAATCCTGGCTGAGCAAGGATCAGCTAGTTATGTCATGGCTCCTGAATTCCATGGAGCGAAGGTTAGCTGAAATTTTCAGCTACTCAGAATCCTCTTATCAACTCTGGGAAGCAGTCAAGGAAATGTATGGCAGCCAAAATAATGCTGCACGGGTCTTCCAACTAAAGAAGGATATCTCCGATCTGCAACAAGATGGTAAGCCGTTCGTGCAACTCCTGGGAAGCATGAAGACCATGTGGAACGAGTTGGAAACCTATAGTCCTCATACAACTGATGCAGTGTTGTTACGAAAGAGGGCAGAAGAAGACAAGATATTCCAACTCTTGTCCAGTCTTGACTCAACATATGAAGATCTGCGATGTCACATGCTCATGAACACTGAACTACCCTCCTTTGTGTGTGTGCAACTATTCAACGTGAGGAAGTAAGAAGGAAAGTCATGAACATGAGTACAATGCCAAATGTATCAGAATCGAGGGCATATGTAACCAACGAAAGAAGGTACAAAGGAAATCACCCTCACCTCAAGTGTCAACACTGCAATAACACAGGCCATGTTAAGGATACTTGCTGGATTTTACATCCAGAATTAAAGGCTGACTTCATGAAAGGTGTACAAAGGGTGAATCGTGCTCCACTTCGAGCAAATCATGCATCTACCTCCATCTCCAACAAGTCAGATTCATTTAAGAACTTCACAGCAAATCCGACAGAACTCATGAATGAGTTCATAACATTTCTTCAAGGCAAGAAAGGAGGTGCTCAAAGAGATAGTACTCATAACATGGAAGAAGGAACATCGACAGCAATGCTTGGCAAGTTCACAGGGTTCTTGACAGACACAAATTCTGTTCCCCAAGACGACATGTCAGGTATTATAAAAGCCTTCAAAACTGCACTGAAATTAAACATGTTGCATGATTGTTGGGTTATAGATTCGGGTGCCACAGATCACATGACCAATCATGTGTCTGATTCTCAAAAATTTGAAAGATTGACCAAACCTTCTCGAGTCTCAATAGCAGATGGAAATCAAGTTAAGGTGTTAGGGAGAGAAAAAATCAAGTTAATGTCGAATGAAATAGAGTCTGTCGCTTTATATGCTCCATCCTTTCCATTCCAACTTCTATCTGTGGGAAGGATTACAAACACATTGAATTGTTTGGCCATTTTCTCTCCTCACAATGTGATTTTTCAGGACTGTGCCACCAAAAGGAATGATTGGTGAAGGGTTCTACTTAGATGGTCTCTATTACCTGTCAAAGAGTAATCCCAGGGGTTTTCAAGCCAAGCTAGACTCTACTCGTGATACTCGTTTGTGGCATCAACGTTTAGCACATCCTTCCTCTCCCATTTTGTCAGCTTTATTCCCAAAGTTAGGAAAGGATGATATAATATGTGAAACTTGTCACTTGTCTAAAGACACTAGATTATCCTCTAAATCCTTTCTTTCTAGAACCAGTAAGTGTTTTGAACTAGTTCATTCCGATGTTTGGGGACCAACTAGTGAATCTTTTGATGGTTACAAGTATTTTGTGATTTTTGTGGATGACTTCTCTCGAGTCACCTGGTTGTACCTACTAAAATCTAAGAGTGAAGTTGTAGAAGTTTTTAAAGATTTCCATAACCTTGTAAAAAACCATTTCTCTTCTCAAATACAGACCTTACGATCTGATAATGGCACTGAATACATGTCCCATATCATGAAACATTATTTGAGTGCACATGGCATCATGCATCAAACGAGTTACGTTGGAACCCCTCAACAAAATGGGGTAGCTGAACGTAAAAACCGTGATCTTCTTGAGAAAACTAGGGCACTGATGTTACAAATGCATGTACCAAAGAGGTTTTGGTCCCAAGGTGTTATGACAGCATCATACATCATCAACAGGTTACCTAGTCGAGTCTTGGAACTCAAGTATCCCCTAGAGGTTCTGAAAGGAAGAAAAATCGATATATCTCACCTTAAAGTGTTTGGTTGCATTTGTTTTGTGCATGTTCAATCACAATACCGAGATAAATTGGATCTCAGGTCTACTAAATGTGTCTTTCTTGGTTATTCCTCCACTCAAAAGGGATATAAGTGCTATAACCCCCAACTAATGAAAATGGTTGTGTCAAAAGATGTCAGATTCCATGAGTCTAACTGTTTTTTTAATAGAACAAGTGGCATCATAGACCAAGGGGATGGCATTCTGGACCTGTTCCCATTACCAAGAATCGGACCTGATAATCTACATATCCAAGAGCTCAGTCACGACAACACTGAGACTAGTCTCCAAAACCCTCAGTCTGATGGGTTCATACAAGATGAAGACAATGAGAACCAAGAAAGCTCTCAAGATGTGGCTGAAAGGTTACACGAGAATGAGCCATCTCTCCCAGAACCTCGACGCAATCCCCGTCGAGATAGGCAGCCTCCCACCAGGTTTCAAGATTTTGATGTATACAAACCAAAGCATCCAATGTCAAGTTATGTTTCATATCACATGGTAACTCCTTCGCATGCTGCCTTTCTCAACAACATCTCGAGTCACAGAGAGCCTCAAAGTTTCCATGAGGCTAGTAACCAGGAAGTGTGGCAAGAAGCAATGCGAGATGAACTCAAAGCTTTAGACCAGCACAACACCTGGAGCATCACCAAACTTCCAAAAGGAAAAAGGGCAGTGGGGTGCAAGTGGATCTATAAGATCAAGTTCAATGCAGATGGTTCAATTGAGAGACATAAAGCAAGGCTAGTGGCTCGGGGATTCACTCAAACGTTTGAGGTGGACTATAAAGAAACCTTCGTACTAGTTGCAAAAATGAACTCAGTAAGGGTGTTGCTGTCAGTTGCTGTCAATAAAGGTTGGTCTATGTACCAAATGGACGTAAAGAACGCGTTTCTTCACGGTGATCTCGAAGAAGAAGTTTACATGCGATTGCCACCTGGACACCCTCAAAGTCAGGTCCCAGATATGGTGTGTAAGTTACATAAGTCCATTTATGGACTGAAGCAATCGCCTCGAGCTTGGTATGCTAAACTAAGTTCAGTCCTTCACAGTGCTGGTTTCAAAAGAAGTGGAGCTGATTCTTCATTATTTGTTCGTATTGGAACTGGTGGCACATTAGTGGTGTTGATTTATGTGGACGATTTAATAGTCACTGGTGATAATGCAGTCGAAATCTTCAAACTCAAACAGTCACTCCAACAAAAGTTTGCTATCAAAGATCTTGGGGTGTTAAAATATTTCCTTGGGATTGAAATGGCTTCTTCTCACAAGGGATTATTTCTTAATCAAAGGAAATATGTTATAGATCTCCTCAAGGATGCTAACATGAGTGAGTCCAAGCCTGCCACTACTCCTCTCGATAGCAAACTCAAACTCAACATGGGGGGAACTCCACTCTCGGACATCAGTTCATATCAGAGGCTTGTTGGTAAGCTAATCTACCTAACAATCACCAGACCCGATATTTCATATGCAGTGAGCATTGTCAGTCAATTCATGCACTCTCCTTCCATCGATCATTTGAATCTTGTAAAGAGAATCCTACGTTATTTGAAAGGGTCTGTTGGCTGTGGTATTCTCATGACAAAAAATGATCACACTCACATCATGAGGTACTGTGATGCAGATTGGGCAGGTAATGCCATTGATCGTAAATCCACGAGTGGTTACTGCACCTTCATTGGTGGAAATTTGGTCACCTAGAATAGTAAAAAACAAACTGTCATCGCCAGATCCAGTGCCGAAGCTGAGTATCGTGCAATGGCTTCAACAGCATGTGAATTAGTCTGGCTCAAGGGTCTTCTAAGTGATTTAGGGTTTCCTGCAACTCTTCCTATGTCTCTATTCTGTGACAACCAAGCTGCCATGCACATAGCCTCCAATCCAGTGTTCCACGAACGAATGAAGCAAATTGAAGTTGACTGTCATTACATTCGTGAGCAGGTGCAATCACAAGTAATCCAGACACATTACACCAGAAGCACCGAACAACTGGCTGACATTCTCACAAAGGCCTTACCCTCTCATCAGTTTCAGCGTCTTCTTTCCAAGCTCGGATCCATCAATCTTCTGGATCCAGCTTGAGGGGGAGTATTGGCAGTTGCTTGTTTAGTGTATTTTAGGGTTTCGGTGACTGAGGTTGATGTCTTAGTGACATGTTGTCAACTCCTAATTCATGGGGTTGGTATTACTTCCCAAAGTATGGTGTAAGGGTTTCAAGGATGGGTTGTCATCCTCACTTTAGCTAAAGTTATGGGCTAAAGTGATGGTCTTAACCCTACTCTTGTCTTACAATACCTTGTCTTGTCTCATGTCCTTATTTTATTTTGCTTCTCACGGGTCTAGGGCAGGAACCAAGGGATCGTGTTTTGTTTTCTCCCGTATGGCTTCTCTTTGTAGTTCCTTATAAGAGTGTTCTCACTCTCTTGTACTCTTTACAATGAATATACAAGAAAATCTTTGAAAATTAACAAGCACCAATACTAAATACTGATTCTGAGGTGACAGTAGAAACAAGAATTGTTAATACATCACAACTACGATATTTATGGTTTCTCTCAAGTCTTTCTTCATCAAGATATTTACGCTATTCATATTTTGTACTTAAAATTGAGCCCCTTTTGTAACGTTTATCGAATATCAAGAATAAACATATCGAAGAGAGCCCATGTCTTGTATTCCTCCGATCATATACCAACATAAAATATAGATGCATACAAAAAGTACAAAAACATCAACAATAAGCATTAATTTTACCTCAAAAGTTTAGTTTGACCCAAGGTCTGATTCATTGGATTTGAATGATGACAAGGTACTTCTACATGAAGTTGAAAGGCAACATGAAAATTTTATTATGATGCATCAACGAGCAACTTTTAGCAAGCTAATAGTCCGCACTAATAAGAAATCCCTAAAACCACCACACTAATAAAAATTCTCAAATTTTGAAGAAAAATCCCCACACTAATAAAAAATCCCAAAAACCCAATATTCAACTATAGTTGAAAATCGAAATTAAGCCAAAACGAAACCTTCATTACCAAAATTAAGCTAATAGTCCAGTAACCCAATAAGAAAAACAAAGTAAAATCACCTCTAGATGACTGTCATTGATTCAACGCGGAGAGAGCGCGAGCTGCTTCATATTGTTCTAAATTGAGAGAGAGAGAGAGAGAGAGAAAGAGAGAGACTGAGAAATCGTTCGAGGACGGAGGGCTGAATGCCGAAGTGAGAGATCGTGAGAATGGAGGGGGCGGAGTGGCAGAGTAAGATTGTGAGAAAGCAGAGTGAGAGAAGAGGGCAAAGTCGGCGGAGCAAGAGAGGGATTGCAGACTGCATCTCTTAGATAGGATTTCGAAAATTACAAAACTAACCCTCTTTAATGGGTGATTTATGATTACGGGTTTTTTGGGATTACTCGAGACCAACTATTTTAATCGAGCTTGTTAAGTCTTTCCCCATTAATTAAAATTTTGTGAGCAAATTGAGTCGGGTTAGTTTGTTCAAAATTTTCGCTCTTTATCTTCAGTTTAGTTATTATAATATAGACAAACTAATAGTCCCAATATTGCTATGGTCTTATTATAAGCAGAACTTGCATATACCATGGAAGTGAACGAAAAATGCGATGTTTATAGTTTTGGAGTGGTTGCTATGGAAACAATCATGGGAAGGCATCCTGGTGATTTTTTCTGATCATTCTTATCAGTGTCTTCTTCGTCCACGTCGTCATTAGCATCAACATTACCATCCCATCAAATGTCAGTTGTGGATGTTCTGGACCAACGCATTTTGCCTCCAACGCATCAAGAAGCAGGGGAAGTACTCTTTCTTATGAAGATTGCGTTTTCATGTTTGAATCCTAGTCCGCATTCTCGCCCTACAATGAGACAAATTACCCAACTCATCTCAACTCAGAAGTTGCATTTGTCGAAGACAATACGTATGATAACTTGTGGTGAATTGCTTGCTTTAGATCCTTTGACGGCCTGAGAAGCAGGGAGTGCTTGTTTCCGATAAATAAATTTCGAGTCTTCCTTTCAGAAGAAAGATTCTTCGTAGATGTTTCTGTATTGTAATTTATTTTTATGCACTGGTTTGCTTGGGCTCTAGTCACTTTATGTAGAACACTTAATGTTTTTTCAGTTAAAATTGTGTTTACACTTGTGAGGAAGAAATAGAAGTTAATAAAACAAAGAATTGGTTTTCATGCACAGGGACAATGACTGGCTAAGAATGCAATGGCCATACTTATATTACTATTTCTATTTATGTATACGGACAAATGTAAAGTCATAGACAAAAGCAACCGAGAAGTAGACCAAAAGGAATCGAGTTCTGGCCGAAAGAGCCTGCGATAGGTCTTCACATGAACTCCTTGTGGCAAGGCAGGCTTATCACTCTCTCTACAAGAAATCCCTCGAGGAGGATGTTGGGCATCACACAACTGGGGACTGCTGCAAGGTAAAGTTGCTAGAGTATAACTTTTTCAAGATATTATATTATATAGGGTAAATTATAGGGTTCTTTAGAAAAAGACCCTTGAAACTCCTATTTTTCAATGAAGAGCCCACCAAGTATTAAACATCCAAATAAAAGTCAAATTTCAAATAGAGTACCATGTAGACAAATATGTAACCAATTATTATCACATATTTATAACTTATGTCACAAAACCCTGATTATGTCAATAAATATTATTACTCACCCTAATTATGATTAGCAATTAACCCCATATGGAAATTTTACCTTTCTTGTATGATAAATATTAGGAACATATATATATATATATATTAATTTAGCCATGTTTATAAATAATTATTGTGACATCCCGTCCCGAGGATATATAAACGCAAGCATGAAATGACAGTTTTACCCCTTGTTCGTTAAAATTTCGTTTAGTGTGATTTCGAGTGGTGTGGATATTTGTTGGACCACACACACTCCCTGTCATTATTTCTCCCTTTTGCTTTTCCTTAATTCCCTCCTCTCTGTCTCTTTTCTGTCTCATTCTCTCTCTCTCTCTCCCCGAGCTCCATTCCTTCTTCTTTCTTCTTCTTTCTTCTACACACGGACATACACACAAAGACACTCAAACCTTCACAAATCAAGAAACAAATTACACCATTGAACTCGTGAAGCTGAGGGGAGTCCAGTGGTGCCATTTTCAAGTGAGAAATCTTACGTTTTCACGTCGATTCGACAAACTCCGATTTGTGCACTGTTCATGCAAACTTAATCTAGCATGTTTTTGGACTTTTTAAGCTTGTAGATGTGTTAGTGAGGTCTCAAGGAGCTTGGGAATGCTTCGTTGGGTGAATTTGGACGTCGGGAAAGCAAGGTTCAAAGTTGGCCGATTCTAGATTGTGTGGACAGGTATAATTCCTTGATTTTTAGGCCTTAAAAGTAGTCTAACGTGATTCTACTAGTCCTAAGCTTCATTTTGGTATAAAGAACGTGAAAAATGGTTGAAAAACGAGCGAGAAAACAAAGTTTGAAGTTTTTGCAGTTTTCCGACGACGGCGCCGGCGGCGGTGGCTCGCCGGAGAAGGAAGGGGAATATTCCGTTTGACTTAACGGAATATTCCTAACGGCAGTGACGGCGTCAGTTAGGGAATATTCCGTCAGCCAAACGGAATATTCCTGACGGCGTCAGTTGACGCCGTCAGTGTGCGTGACACGTGACCGCGCGTGGGGGCGCGTAGGTCCGTGCCAATTCAGGCGCGTGGGGGCGCGTGCGTGGTCCAAAAATTATTTTAAAAATATGGGTGTGATCCTGAGGTTGTGTAGATCACGTTGGTATATTCATTTGTCCATTTTGAGCAATGTATGAGAAATTATTACGAAAAGTTGGTTATGTGCGTTTAAATTAACGTTTTCGTAGCTTTTTCGCGTATAGGTGATACGTACTCCGAGGACGAGCGTATTCACTCGAGGCAGGGGGGCTACGACCCTTCCACTTATCAGTGAGTGGGCTTTTGTTTTCCGTATATACCTATATACTTTTAAATTCCCAGAAATAGAATAAAAAGAGTTAATTGATTTATGCCATGCACTTTATTATTATCGCTTATGCATCAACACATGCATTAGTAGCGGCATACATTATATATTTGTATTTGGTGCTGTGGACGCACAGGTAAGTGCCAGGTAAGTGGTTTCATGTTGTTATGCAATTGTAGTTTGAGATGCTTAGAGAGCTCATTATCTGCACCCCGGTGTTAGTGCTCCCGCCCGTGGCCAGGGCATAGCCTTCACGTGTATGTTCACCTCCCGCACCACACGCTCAGCTTGGATCCAGGTTAGGTGCACAGCCTGTCGTACATACCACATTAGGTGGTTCCGACTCGTAGGTGACCCGCGATTTATCGCACAGCTTCACGTGATCGTAGCACTAGAGCGTATATATATTACACCAAGCCTGTCGTGCAGACCACATTAAGTGGTTCCGACTCGTGTGCAGATTCGGTTAGTGAGTTGAGATTGGAGCTCTATATGCCGCCGTACAGGTCACGTTAGGTGACTCCCGGCTGCTAGATTAGATGTTATTGATAAGAGTTATGCTTGAGCATCTACATTTATTATGAGATTCCGATGTGACATATTCTCGAGCATGAATGGCATATCTTGGAGCATGATTGGCATATCTATACATATGTATATACGTTCACTTTCTGGGATGTATACAGGTTTTACGGCGAGGGGTTAGAATGTGTTTTGTTAAAGAGTTTTCAAAGAGCTTTGTTTTTGCCCACTCACGCTTTTGTTTTGCGCCCCTCCAGGTTCTAGTTGCTTAGCGGTTGCGGTGGTCTTCCCAGAGGGCGTCCCGGCATTTCTGACAGATACTCACCAATGTAGGGTCACCTTCGGGTGTATTATTGTCGTATTATTATCCTTGGACTGCTGTAGTCTTGCTCTGAACTTAGTGTCTCACTTACGCTAGTACTTGTTTTAATACTTTGTATGCTAGGTTTTAATTTATTCGTACTTTTACATTACTTTCTCTAGCTTCCGCACGTGCACATGGCTACGTCACCTCCGGGTGACGGCCAGCATGCCCTGATCTCGGTTGGGGTGTGTCAATTATGGGCAAATTTTTCATATGGAAAAAAAAATCCTTTGTACAATCAGTTATTTTGCATCAAATAATAATATTTTTTGATAAAAACAACAAAGAACCAATTAATATTCTTTTATGTTGTAGTGAATTATTTTACCTAGATTATTACATACATTACACATTTTTTATTTGTTATCATATATGCTTGTTAAAAATAATTTATCTATATTTATATGTCAAATATAAGTAAATTAATTTTGAATCAAATAATAGTAGTTCCATTATTTTGGTAAAGTTAAATAGTGCCTAAATTATTTCGTAAAAATTAAACCAAGACAAATTATCTCCATTAAAATAAAATAATAGATATTTGACAAAAAAAAAATAAAAATAAAACAGTAGATACATTATTTTCTTATAAGATTAAAGAATAGGTAAACTATATTGTAGGTACATTATGTTTATAATATTAAAAAAGAAATTGAAATGCATAAACAAAATGTAGTAGATATATTATTTTTTAATCAAGTTTCCTTTAATTGTAGGTGAATTATTTTCATGCATTATTATATATATTGGGCACATTTTACAACTAATATATATGTGCAATAATTTACCTATATTATTATATAAAATATAGATAAATTTATTTTGAATCAAATAATATTTTTTATTTTATAAGTAAGTTATTTTGCATGTATCAGGCCCGGCCTTGGCTGCCCGCCGTCCTGCGTCTTCGAATCTTCACCATCGACGCTTCGGTCTCTCCGTGTCTTCCAAGTTCCAAGCCTTTCTCTTCGTCTTCATAAGTTCTTCGCGACCACACTACAGGCTAAGGCTGCACGGTCCACCCACACCCAGATCCAACGGTCCACACAGACCTGCCTGCCTCCACCTCCGCCTCCAGCTCTCCGCGGCTCCACCCATCCGTGACGCCAATCACACCACCACCTGACCACCATCGCCCATCGGATGATCGCCGATCTAATGCGGATGATATTAAATCCCGACTCCATAGGCCAACCCAACCGCGCAGCCGTGGCGAAGCGAGTTTCAAATGCATCCGCATTGAGTCAGGGTGTCAAGTCGGTCCTTCGGTTCGTTCGATTCGCCGAGATCGTAACCCTCTTTCGTTGTCTTCATCATCGCTTTTATCATTTTCAAAGATCTTGTAAGTTCCCCATTCCTTTTTTCTCATATTTCTTCTGATTCTTTGCTTAGATTCCTAAGTATGGTTTTGGTTAATTATGTAATTTTAATTTTCTGGAAACTGATTATGTTCATATAATTATACAGATTCTTCAAATTTGTTGACTCGTGCAGATTGAGTTGGGCAAAACTTTTCTAGGCATTTGATGTGATGATAATTAAAGAACCGACGCTGTCTGATGATCATATGGATGCTATGGAAGAATAGGAACGACGCTGTCTGGAATGGGGCTCGGGTGCCGCAGGAGCTGGTGGTCAGAACAGAGGGTTTGTTGCAGGAGTACCAGAAGTGGCATAAAACTGGTACGGAAAAATCCATTAATCGCCCGCAGATATGGCGGAGAGCTGAAGTTGACTGGGTCAAGTGTTATTGTCTTGTTTTGATATAATGATATATCTAGTAAGTTTTTATTCCAAGAACAAACATTTTTTTATTTACCAAACACAATTAAGGACTCAACTTTTTCAAGAAATTGTTTTTTTTTTTTTTTTTTTTTTAAATTAAGCAACCCCAAACTGGCCATAATTAAGTTTTCAAAAATATTAATGCTCATAGAAGTTGAACATAATACCTTTTTTTATAAATAAAGACATAAACATCACTACACAGTATATGTTACAACTTACAACTAATTCTTAATAATCTTTAGATGATTGCCCCAAAGAGATAAAACGTATAGTTCACCAGCATTACAACTTACAACTGATTCTTTAGATTATTTGATAAATTTGAACATAAAAATAAATGAGAAATGAAGAAGAGGGGTTGAGATAGTGATCTTTAAGAAGAAGGATTGACAATTACACACATTTGGGACAACCGTTAGAATGAGTGGAAGATGATCCTCTCCTGGTTCACTTTGTGGGGGATCTTAGAGATCCCCACATCCCAATCGTTCATCGTACAGCGTGTCGTCAATTTTCGTTAGGTACTATTTGTGTTTAATTTTAAATAAAAAATGTTAAATGATTTCTGACCGCACGATACATGATGAATAGCTAAGATGTGAAGATCACTACAATTTCCACAATTTGGATCCGAATGCGATTCAAATCCAGAAGGAGTGGGGTGGGCTCCATAAAACAAAATGGTGCACTGTACTAGCTGGCGACAATTAAAGACTTTTGACTTGGAATGAGTAAATTTATGGAAGACTCCAGAGGAAAAATTATTAATTGGAAAAACTTTTTTGTGGTCTGAGAGACACTGAGTCATGAAGATATCATTTTCTTGTGGAAAACAAAATATTTTGTCACAGTCATATGAAATAAAAGAGAATACTAAAAATAAAACTGGATGTATCAATTAAGATCATCAAGCTCTTATTCTTTGAAGAAAAAAAATTGAAAAAAATTGCCAACTTGCATTTCTCGCCCTTGACTTGGACTTTGGCCAGATTGCCAAATTGCCAAACTGCATTGATGGAAGACTCTAACGTCGACTTTTTTTTTTTTGTTTTTTTTCCTCTCAAACGATAGATTTGTTTGATTAGGGAGTCGACGGGATTCGAACCCACACTGTGGTGCAAGGGCAACATTCCTCTCCACCAATGTGGTAGAAGGCCACTTGCTACTCTAAAATCGACTTGGACTTTGGCCAAAATGCCAAATTGCATTTATATAAAAGACTCCAAAGTCATCCAAGTTGCCAAATTGCATTTGTGGAACTCCAAGGACCATGTACAATGATTGGTTTAAAACTCAAATTTTGAGTTTCAAAATGTTAAAACTTGCTTTGGGCCAAATTCTCACCTCCCCACCCAAAACAAAATGAGCCAAGGATAGTGGTGGCCCGAGCTCCAACGCGTGAAAGCGCCTACAAAGTGCCCAGCTGTAGCTAAGCAACGCATCAGAAGCATCTCATGCGACAAGTCATCAACTCTTGGTCCCAAACGACTACCCACTAGCATAACTGGTCTTTTAGTGATCCAACGATTATAAACGATGGGTAATTGGTTGATCGAAAAGTCCATATTTAAATTTTTGATAATCAAATTTATAATTAAATTAAATCGAACGGCTAAATATAACACAAGGCCATCGGAACTTCGAAGTTAAGCGAATTCGGGCGAAAGCATGCCCATGATGGGTGACCCACTGGGAAGTTCTCGCGTGAGTTCTCAGAAACTAAACCGTGAGGGCGTGGTTGGGGCCCAAAGAGGATAATGTTGTGGAGTCGAGCCTGGGATGTGACAATTTGGTATCAAAGCCAATCTCTGGCTAAAAGTGTGCCGACGAGGACGTCAGGCCCCTAAGGGGTGGATTGTTAGATCCCACATCACCCAGGGGAGCGGATCCATTATGCCCCATAGACACATGCCCACCTTCATACAGCACGAGGCCTTTTGGGAGTTCACTAGCTTCGGGTTCCATTGGACCTCCGAAGTTAAGCAAGCGAGAGCATTCCCAGGATGGGTGACCCACTAGGAAATGTTCGCGTGAGTTCCCAGAAACAAAACCGTGAGGGCATGGTTAGGGCCCAAAGCCGACAATATCGTGTTACGGCGGAGTCAAGCTCAGGATGTGGTGGAGCCCGGATCGGGATGTGACAATAGAACTATTTGAAGTTTCAAAGTTTTAATCCTTATCTTTATAAAAATGTAATTATTGTTCCATGACTTCCATGTTTCAAGGGGCAGGTTTATAGGAATTTAAATATTTTAAAGTTAAAATATTCACAAAACTTAATCAAGATAATTTACATAAATTTTACTTTTAAAAAAATTAACCGACAAAAAATTAAGCTAAAATCATTCTTTAATAATCTCGACCTAAAATTTTTAGCCAAAACTATTGGAGGATAAAAATTATTTTTGAGTCAAAACCTAAATTTTTAGCCAAAACTATTGTTGTATTATTATTTTTTTTTCAAAACTGCTTATACTGTGTTGTGAGAATAAATAATTGTGAAAAGAGTAGGTAAGTGTAATGGTAAATTATAGTGCTAAAAGTGCTTTTAGAAGAAAAAAATGATGGGATAGGATTGTCAATATGAAAGTTTCATTAATTACCTGCGTCCCTTGGAAAAAAAAAAAGCTTTTTTGAGAAGCATGTGTAGATTTGCTTTTGTTTTTAGCTGTTTTAGACCTATGATATGAGGGAAAAAATAAAAAAAAAAACTTTTTTTATTTACCAAACAAAATTAAGGACCCAACATTTTAAAGAAAGTTGCTTTTAAAAATTTTAAGCAACCCTAACCTAGCCATAATTAAGTTTTCAAAATTATTAACGCTCGTAAAAGTTGAACACAATACCTTTTATTGAGAAATAAAAAGATAAATATCACTACACATTACGTGTTACAACTGATTCTTAATAATCTTTAGATGATTGCTCCAAAGAGATATAACATAAAGTCCACTAGCATTTCCCAAATTTTCTTTTATTTGATAAGTGAACTTATGACACCAAACGGAATACCTTTAATGAGAAGAAGAAAAAATAGAAATAAATGAGATGTGAACAAGAGGGTAGGGCTGAGATAGGGATATTTGAGAAGAAAGATTGACAATTACACACATTTGGGACTAAGTACATTGTATATTATAGGAAACAACCGTTAGAAGGAGAGGGGTGGGCCCCATACAATTACACGCATTTGGGACAAAGACTTTGACTTATCTTGTACAGACAAAACATTTTGCAAGTCCTGTATCTTTCTTCTCTCCCACCCCCTCTTTCGGTACGGGTTGAATTGAATTAATTACAATAGCTCATGGATGCCATTATAAATAAGCCCTAGGAGTAGAGTCTAATATGTACACAAAATTAAACGCTAGCGGCCATGACATCTTTAGAGTTTCATAAACTCTGCCTTTTGGCTTATTGCCTTGTCTTATTCGTACAACTTCTTTCACCACCAAGTTGCTCTGCTTTTGCTTCTGCTACTTCTACCACGGAAGCAGAAGCGCTTCTCAAATGGAAAGCCACCTTTCAAAACCATACCCGCCTGCAAAATCTCACCTTTTGGGCTTACCTACCTGCTCATGCAAAAGCAGCCCCATGCTTCTGGACTGGTATTTCATGCAATGTTGTTGGAAGTGTCAGTGTGATAAACCTTACCAATTTTGGGATACAAGGTACGCTACATGAGTTTTCCTTCTTGTCTTTCCCCAATCTTCAATACCTCAATCTTAGCTACAATAATCTCTTTGATGTCATTCCAGCTAAAATCAGTTCCCTCTCCAAACTCATCTCCCTTGATCTTTCTAACAATTGGCTTAGTGGTTCAATCCCAACATCCTTAGGTCTGCTCACAAACCTTTCCACTCTTTATCTACATAGTAATAATCTTTCTGGCATTATTCCTAAAGAGATAGGGAATTTGAAATCTCTTGTGGACCTAGGATTGTCTGAGAGTCAGCTCAACGGTTCAATCCCAACATCCCTAGGTCAGCTCACAAACCTTTCCACTCTCTATCTACATAGTAATAATCTTTCTGGCACTATTCCTAAAGAGATAGGGAATTTGAAATCTCTTGTGGACCTAGGATTGTCTGAGAATCAGCTCAATGGTTCAATCCCAACATCCCTAGGTTAGCTCACAAACCTTTCCACTCTCTATCTCGGTAGTAATAATCTTTCTGGCACTATTCCTAAAGAGATAGGGAATTTGAAATCTCTTGTGGACCTAGGATTGTCTGAGAATCAGCTCAACGGTTCAATCCCAACATCCCTAGGTCAGCTCACAAACCTTTCCACTCTCTATCTCCATAGTAATAATCTTTCTGGCACTATTCCTAAAGAGATAGGGAATTTGAAATCTCTTGTGGACCTAGGATTGTCTGAGAGTCAGCTCAACGGTTCAATCCCAACATCCCTAGGTCAGCTCACAAACCTTTCCATTCTCTATCTACATAGTATTAATCTTTCTGGCACTATTCCTAAAGAGATAGGGAATTTGAAATCTCTTGTGGACCTAGGATTGTCTGAGAATCAGCTCAATGGTTCAATCCCAACATCCCTAGGTCAGCTCACAAACCTTTCCACTCTCTATCTCGGTAGTAATAATCTTTCTGGCACTATTCTTAAAGAGATAGGGAATTTGAAATCTCTTATGTCCTTACAATTGTATGAGAATCAGCTCAGCGGTTCAATGCCCCAAAATATTTGCTGTAGTGGACAACTCGAAAACCTTTCAGTGATAAATAACCATTTGACAGGTCCAATCCCCAAAAGCTTGAAAACATGCAAGAGCTTAGTTAGAGTTCGTCTTGATGGGAACCAATTCACAGGCAATATATCAAAAGACTTTGGTGTTTATCCAAATCTTGATTTCATAGGTATGAGTCACAATAAGTTTTATGGTGAAATTTCACAAAAATGGGGACAGTGCGCAAAATTAGAAACCTTACTAATTGCAGGAAACAACCTCACTGTAAGCATGCACTTTGTACTCCCCCATGATAGGGTGAAGCCGGTGTACAAGTCACAAACGATTGGAGCCCACCACGGTGGAAGGCCTACGAAGAGATATTCAAAGCATCTCTCGCTTATCAACTTAATATTGATTTGGTTGAGGGTTTTTAGGTCTCATCACATATAAACATACATTTTAATCCAATTAAAACATTTTGGTCCTATTACAACTATTGGTCCATATGATTGATTTAGTAGTATATAATACTCCCACTATGCTTTTAAAACGGTTTTTAAAGCAAGACTATATGGTACTACTAACATAAGATTTGCATTCATTGATGGACTATATAGTTGCCTTAGGGCCTTAGGATGACTATGAACCTTTGATTCGATTCAACACGAGCCTAGTGTTGAATCTCGGTCTAGGGATGGAGATTGATTTTAGTTACGCGTTTAATCACATTAAGGCGTGTTGTCTTATTGGGCGTTGGACCCAACTACTCCAATTTCATGCATATCGAATAAAACAAGAAAGGAGTACTTCAAAGTAAATAAGAGCTTATGCTCTTTTACAACAATTGATCAAATCAAATTACTTTAAAGTAAAGAAGAGCTTATGCTCTTTTACAACAATTGATCATATCAAATTACAACCAAAATTTAATCTACACATTCCCATGGTTCAAACAAATTTGAAATGGCCTTTCACATAGCTCAATTATCGTAGGCTAAGGTTCATAATCACCCTTTCTTTAATTAATTAACGCTTTAACTAATTAAACTTGAATGCAACATTTTCATTTGGTTTTTGTATCCATAGAATTGATTTAAATGGAGCTAAATGAAATGAAAATCCAATTCTCATTTAAAGAGACAAAACAATTTTGTTCTCTACCTAATTTGGGCCAAAATGCTATGACCTCAACTTGTTTGGGCCATAGTGCAATTAACCTCAACTTTTGGGCTATTTTGCAAAAACTTAAACTTTTGGGGTCACTTTGTAAAAACACAAAAGTCCACTACTTCATGTAATTACAACTAGAACCCAAAAATTTCCACAAAAACTAAAACTTCATTAAAGGAGCAAAACAATTTGTCCTTTTAGTGATTTTGGACCTTTACGTAAAAACGTAAACTTTTGGGTCAAAATGCAAATACACAAAAGTATCAAAACTTTATATAATTGCACAAAAGCCCCACAAGGACCCTAATTGAGTAGGGTGGCTGATTTTGAAGCAAAGTAATAAAAAAAAAAATTTAAGTTTTTTGTAAGTGGGGTGTGTGTAATGGAATAAATCATTACATACCTACCCACTAAAATTTCTTTAATTTTTCAAAACAAATATCTAATATATTTAAACATTAGAAATATTTCAAAACAAAAACTTTATGAAATAAATCAAAACTTTGAATCAAAACACCAAACCTTTTGTTCTTGGCAAGAACATATCAAGAACAATGAAGAACATCCATGAAAACCCATAAGAGCTCCATGAACATTCTTCACCCAAAAACATACCAAAACCACTCAAACTTAAGGGAAATAACATACAACCATACTAGGGTACATAGGGGTTCCAAAAGTCACTTTAAAACACTTTTAACAAGTCAAACAAGAACCCAAAAATCCACCCTTTGGATTTGGCCGAATTTCCCCAAAAACATGGCACCAAATTTTAGCTCCAAAATTCATGCTCATATGAACTACATCTACAACATTTGAGATGGCAAATTTTCTAACAAAATTTACATTCAAAGAAGCAAGAATAAAGCTTGTAACAATTACAACATTCAAATCACAAACTATGAACTACAAAACCCAAAAGGATTCACCAACTACTAGACTTAGGCTCTTGATACCACTTGAAGGAAGATTTGTGAAAAACATGTTCATTTAAGCAACATCAATAGCATGCAATTAACAATTAAAGGCAGAATCATGCTTGTATGCACTTAAAACAAAACATTTACCCATGAAATTCAAAGCCTAGTAGATAGGTGAACCAAGACTCAACTCAAAACAAAGTGAGTTGAGAAATCAATACCTTTGTAGATTCCTCTTTGCATAAGCAAAGGCTAATCACCCAAAGAGAGGGCCTTCATTCCTTGCATCTTAGATCCATGGATTTGGATGGATGAAAAGGTTTCTCCAAGTTCCCAAAATTGAGAACCTCTAATGATTCATCACCAAGGCATAATGAAGAAGAAATGAGTGACCTTGGAGGAGTTTGATTGCTAGATGATCCCTCCAAGGTGGCCTAAATTTTAGAGAGAAAGGAGAGCTTGTGTTCTCATCCTTTCCCCAAAAATTACCATATATAAATTTTAGGCTATAAAGTCCTTTATATAGTCCCTTCAAATAAGTGACCTAATGGACCAAAAGCCCTATTCTTCTAACATGGCAAGCCTATAGGGTTTATTGGGCTTTCAAGCCCTTTGTTTATTCAAGTTGTCATACAACTTGAGTTAATGGGCTTGACATTCAAATCCCATTGGGCCTTGCGGCCCAAAACTAACCCGAGGTCTTTAACGAACTTATTCGTTTGATTAATTAACATATTAATTAATCCTAGCCTTAGATAAACAATTAAACCATTTAATTATTCTTACTCATCTCCGTTGTTTCTTCAAACTCTACCTTACTCGGTGAACGATCCATTAGGTTCCTTTTAGCGAGGCAGTGGGCGATTAAAACTCTTTCTAATCGATTGTGAATTGAAACTTACTTTCAATTCTCCCGTTAGTGATAATACACTTTTAGGGCTTCCACAAACCATGGTTGACGCCTAGCAGCATGTCATGGTTACCCAAGCTAATCAGAAGAGGTGGAGAACCTATTCAGTTTTAGGATTACAAATGCAATACGGTCTTTCTCTAATACAATACTCTTGACCACATTGTTTGGTTTGATAGTTTATTCATGTCTACTATCCAATGTGAGTCTTGTGCTTATATGATTACCTTGAATGTGATTTGGAACACATTCCTAAATCTCATTCATACTTTGGCCAAAGATTCTTAATCATATCATAGAGTATTCTCCCTCAAACAGTTTGAAGGTTAGAGATCCCTTGTTGCGCATTCACTTGCCTCCATGGCTAAGTGGCTTAACCCCAACGATGCCATGGACACCCTCCTGATGGAGTGACTTTGACATAATCAAAGATTAAGGACCTAACCACAAGACAACTGTGATGCCTCAGGTCAAAAGACTAATTTGCATTATCCCAACCATGAGTTTTCATGTGACATGAATATGAGAACTCTTCGTTGATCGTGTTCAGTGAACTCATTCTCTATTGAGCACCTACGTACTTGTCTTGATGTCACACACACCAATGACTCGAGACTAGTCACTCTCCCTGAGAGAACACATAGCACGTACTGATCTTAACGGACTGTCAATGCCCAATTGACAATCCTATGATCAGGAACGTTTAGGATGTGTCAAGGAAAGAATGGTCTCATGAATCTAACCTCTTTAGATCGCATTCTTCCAATCACATATTCCTTGGACTTATCGTTTAAGCATATAACATTTATATGAGACGGCTCAAACAATAATGTTTGCCCTTAATATTAAACTAGATTAGTTTAACATGTGAAATGTCCATAAAGTATCATCATATGATTGGTTTTAGAGCACATTTCCAACAACATGAACTCCTTGTGGCAAGGCAGGCTTATCACTCTCTCTACAAGAAATCCCTCGAGGAGGATGTTGGGCATCACACAACTGGGGACTGCTGCAAGGTAAAGTTGCTAGAGTATAACTTTTTCAACATATTATATTATATAGGGTAAATTATAGGGTTCTTTAGAAAAAGACCCTTGAAACTCCTATTTTTCAATAAAAAGCCCACCAAATATTAAACATCAAAATAAAACTCAAATTTCAAATAGAGTACCATGTAGACAAATATGTAACCAATTATTATTACATATTTACAACTTATGTCACAAAACCCTGATTATGTCAATAAATATTATTACTCACCCTAATTATGATTAGCAATTAACCCCATATGGAAATTTTACCTTTCTTGTATGATAAATATTAGGAACATATATATATATATATATATATATATATATATATATATATATTAATTTAGCCATGTTCATAAATAATTATGGGCAAATTTTTCATATGGAAAAAAAAAATCCTTTGTACAATCAGTTATTTTGCATCAAATAATAATATTTTTTGATAAAAACAACAAAGAACCAATTAATATTCTTTTATGTTGTAGTGAATTATTTTACCTAGATTATTACATACATTACGCATTTTTTATTTGTTATCATATATGCTTGTTAAAAATAATTTATCTATATTTATATGTCAAACATAAGTAAATTAATTTTGAATCAAATAATAGTGGTTCCATTATGTTGGTAAAGTTAAATAGTGCCTAAATTATTTCGTAAAAATTAAACCAAGACAAATTATCTCCATTAAAATAAAACAATAGATATTCGACAAAAATAAAAATAAAAATAAAACAGTAGATACATTATTTTCTTATAAGATTAAACAATAGGTAAACTATATTGTAGGTACATTATGTTTATAATATTAAAAAAGAAATTGAAAACCATAAACAAAATGTAGTAGATATATTATTTTTTAATCAAATTTCCTTTAATTGTAGGTGAATTATGTTCATGCATTATTATATATATTGGGCACATTTTACAACTAATATATATGTGCAAAAATTTACCTATATTATTATATAAAATATAGATAAATTTATTTTGAATCAAATAATATTTTTTATTTTATAAGTAAGTTATTTTGCATGTATCAGGCCCGGCCTTGGCCCAATGCTAACAAGGCTACTGTCCAGGATCCAAAATTGCTGAGGGCACCAAATTTTATTTTTAGACATACAAGTATATTAAAAATTAAAAAAAAAATGCACATATGGAGAGTCTACAGACGCTCAATCTTTCTCACAACAATCTTTCGGGTTTCATACCATCAAGTTTTGAAGGCATGCATGGCTTGTCATATGTGGATATATCTTACAATGAATTGGAAGGTCCCCTTCCCAACAACAGAGCCTTTCGACAAGCTTCGCCAGAAGCTTTACAAGGAAACAAAGGACTGTGCGGCAACGTTGAAGTTTTGCAATCTTGCACAATTGGCCCAAGAAAGGAACGCAAATGGGTATTTGGAATCACATTCTCTCTTGTAGCAGCAATTTTACTTATTTTTGCTTTCTTTACAATTAAATTCGTAGTGCAAAGAAAGAAGAAAAGTCTAGAAAAAGAAGAAAAAAACTTGGATGAAGGAATATCGTTTTCAGTTTTAAATTTTGATGGAAAGTCAATGTATGAGGAAATCATAAGGGCGACAAAAAATTTTGATTCCACATATCGCATCGCGAGTGGAGCACAAGGAAGTGTCTACAAAGCAAATTTGTCAAGTGACAACGTAGTGGCTGTGAAAAAAATACATCAATTGTGGGATGGTGAGAAGAATTTGGAGACGGCATTCTTGAATGAAATAAGGGCACTAACAGAGATAAGACACCGGAATATTGTGAAGCTTTATGGTTTCTGTTCACACCATCGACACTCGCTCTTGGTGTACGAGTTTGTTGAAAGAGGTAGCTTGGCCACAATTTTGAGCAAAGATGAAGAAGCTAAAGAAGTTGGGTGGAGAAAAAGGGTTAATATTGTTGACGGTGTAGCTCATGCCTTGGCATACATGCACCACGATTGCTTGCCACCAATTGTGCACCGGGACATATCAACTAAGAATATTTTGTTGGATTCTAAATATGAGGCCTCTGTTTCAGACTTTGGCACTGCTAAGTTTTTGAATCCAGGCTCAACAACTTGGACTGCCGTTGCAGGCACATATGGGTATGTCGCACCAGGTAATATGTTTTTTTTTCCTTTTAAGCTTATTAATTGAGTGTTGATTATGATTAATTTTTTGGCAAAATTTATTTCTTTTCGTTAGGATGGATTAAACAGACCATGTTACATGCTTTGATTTTGAAAGAACATTCATCTAACGTATAAGCCATAGTTGGGTTTATTTTATGCTCTTATAAGTCAGCACCCTCTTTCCTTATAGCTAAAACATAAAATAAAAAAAAAAGTAAAAAATAATAGTAATAAAAAAATGGAAAAAAAGAAAACCAATTATAAACATGCGAACTATAGTAACATCTAATTTAATAAGTAATACCAATCGAGATGTTAATGAATTACTAAAAACTATCTAATTAAAACAACTTGTAGTAAACATGGAAACTGCAATAAGAAAACAAATACCATGTAAGATTTACCTCTTTTGCCAAAAAGCCAATCTCTAATACATAACAATGCTTGAACGGTTTCAGGCAATAAACAACTACGATATTGATCGAGCACTCTAGCACCAATACTAAATACTGATTTTGAGGTGACAGTAGAAACAAGAATTGTTAATACATCACAACTACGATAGTTATGGTTTCTCTCAAGTCTTTCTTCATCAAGATATTTACGTAATTCATATTTTGTACTTAAAATTGAGCCCCGTTTGTAACGTTTATCGAATATCAAGAATAAACATATCGAAGAGAGCCCATGTCTTGTATTCCTCTGATCATATACCAACAATAAGCATTAATTTTACCTCAAAAGTTTAGTTTGACCCAAGGTCTGATTCATTGGATTTGAATGATGACAAGATACTTCTACATGAAGTTGAAAGGCAATATGAAAATTTTATTATGATGCATCTATGAGCAACTTTTAGCAAGCTAATAGTCCGCACTAATAAGAAATCCCTAAAACCACCACACTAATAAAAATTCTCAAATTTTGAAGAAAAATCCCCACACTAACAAAAAATCTCAAAAACCCAATATTCAACTATAGTTGAAAATCGAAATTAAGCCAAAACGAAACCTTCATTACCCAAATTAAGCTAATAGTCCAGTAACCCAACAAGAAAGACAAAGTAAAATCACCTCTAGATGACTGTCATTGATTCAACGCAGAGAGAGCGCGAGCTGCTTCATATTGTTCTAAATTGAGAGAGAGAGAGAGTGAGAAATCGTTCGAGGACGGAGGGCCGAATGCCGAAGTGAGAGATCGTGAGAGGGGAGGGGGCGCAGTGGCAGAGTAAGATTGTGAGGAAGCAGAGTGAGAGAAGAGGGCAGAGTTGGTGGAGCAAGAGAGAGATTGCAGACTGTATCTCTTAGATAGGATTTCAAAAATTACAAAACTAACCCTCTTTAATGGGTGATTTATGATTACGGGTTTTTTGGGATTACTCGAGACCAACTATTTTAATCGAGCTTGTTAAGTCTTTCCCCATTAATTAAAATTTTGCGAGCAAATTGAGTCGGGTTAGTTTGTTCAAAATTTTCGCTCTTTATCTTCAGTTTAGTTATTATAATATATGCAAACTAATAGTCCCAATATTGCTATGGTCTTATTATAAGCAGAACTTGCATATACCATGGAAGTGAACGAAAAATGCGATGTTTATAGTTTTGGAGTGGTTGCTATGGAAACAATCATGGGAAGGCATCCTGGTGATTTTTTCTCATCATTCTTATCAGTGTCTTCTTCGTCCACGTCGTCATCAGCATCAACATTACCATCCCAACAAATGTCAGTTGTGGATGTTCTGGACCAACGCATTTTGCCTCCAACGCATCAAGAAGCAGGGGAAGTACTCTCTCTTATGAAGATTGCGTTTTCATGTTTGAATCCCAGTCCGCATTCTCGCCCTACAATGAGACAAGTTACTCAACTCATCTCAACTCAGAAGTTGCATTTGTCGAAGCCAATATGTATGATAACTTGTGGTGAATTGCTTGCTTTAGATCCTTTGACGGCCTGAGAAGCAGAGAGTGCTTGTTTTCGATAAATAAATTTCGAGTCTTCCTTTCAGAAGAAAGATTCTTCGTAGATGTTTCTGTATTGCAATTTATTTTTATGCACTAGTTTGCTTGGGCTCTAGTCACTTTATGCAGAACACTTAATGTTTTTTCAGTTAAAACTGTGTTTACGCTTGTGAGGAAGAAATAGAAGTTAATAAAACAAAGAATTGGTTTTCATGCACAGGGACAATGACTGGCTGAGAATGCAATGGGTACACTTATATTACTATTTCTATTTATGTATACGGACAAACGTAAAGTCATAGACAAAAGCAACCGAGAAGCAGACCAAAAGCAATCGGGTTCTGGCCTAAATAGCCTGCGATAGGTCTTTACATGAACTCCTTGTGGCAAGGCAGGCTTATCACTCTCTATACAAGAAATCCCTCGAGGAGGATGTTGGGCATCACACAACTGGGGACTGCTGCAAGGTAAAGTTGCTAGAGTATAACTTTTTCAACATATTATATTATATAGGGTAAATTATAGGGTTCTTTAGAAAAAAGACCCTTGAAACTCCTACTTTTCAATAAAAAGCCCACCAAATATTAAACATCCAAATAAAACTCAAATTTCAAATAGAGTACCATGTAGACAAATATGTAACCAATTATTATTACATATTTACAACTTATGTCACAAAACCCTGATTATGTCAATAAATATTATTACTCACCCTAATTATGATTAGCAATTAACCCCATATGGAAATTTTACCTTTCTTGTATGATAAATATTAGGAACATATATATATATATATATATATATTAATTTAGCCATGTTCATAAATAATTATGGGCAAATTTTTCATATGGAAAAAAAAAATCCTTTGTACAATCAGTTATGTTGCATCAAATAATAATATTTTTTGCTAAAAACAACAAAGAACCAATTAATATTCTTTTATGTTGTAGTGAATTATTTTACCTAGATTATTACATACATTACGCATTTTTTATTTGTTATCACATATGCTTGTTAAAAATAATTTATCTATATTTATATGTCAAACATAAGTAAATTAATTTTGAATCAAATAATAGTGGTTCCATTATGTTGGTAAAGTTAAATAGTGCCTAAATTATTTCGTAAAAATTAAACCAAGACAAATTATCTCCATTAAAATAAAACAATAGATATTCGACAAAAATAAAAATAAAAATAAAAAAGTAGATACATTATTTTCTTATAAGATTAAACAATAGGTAAACTATATTGTAGGTACATTATGTTTATAATATTAAAAAAGAAATTGAAAACCATAAACAAAATGTAGTAGATATATTATTTTTTAATCAAATTTCCTTTAATTGTAGGTGAATTATGTTCATGCATTATTATATATATTGGGCACATTTTACAACTAATATATATGTGCAAAAATTTACCTATATTATTATATAAAATATAGATAAATTTATTTTGAATCAAATAATATTTTTTATTTTATAAGTAAGTTATTTTGCATGTATCAGGCCCGGCCTTGGCCCAATGCTAACAAGGCTACTGTCCAGGATCCAAAATTGCTGAGGGCACCAAATTTTATTTTTAGACATACAAGTATATTAAAAATTAAAAAAAAAAAAAAAATGCAACAGTGCCCGCCGTCCTGCGTCTTCGAATCTTCACCATCGACGCTTCCAAGTTCCAAGCCTTTCTCTTCGTCTTCATAAGTTCTTCGCGACCACACTACAGGCTAAGGCTGCACGGTCCACCCACACCCAGATCCAACGGTCCACACAGACCTGCCTGCCTCCACCACCACCTGACCACCGTCGCCCATCGGATGATCGCCGATCTAATGCCGATGATATTAAATCCCGACTCCATAGGCCAACCCAACCGCGCAGCCGTGGCGAAGCGAGTTTCAAATGCATCCGCATTGAGTCAGGGTGTCAAGTCGGTCTTTCGGTTCGTTCGATTCGCCGAGATCGAAACCCTCTTTCGTTGTCTTCATCATCGCTTTTATCATTTTCAAAGATCTTGTAAGTTCCCCATTCCTTTTTTCTCATATTTCTTCTGATTCTTTGCTTAGATTCCTAAGTATGGTTTTGGTTAATTATGTAATTTTAATTTTCTAGAAACTGATTATGTTCATATAATTATACAGATTCTTCAAATTTGTTGACTCGTGCTGATTGAGTTGGGCAAAACTTTTCTAGGCATTTGATGTGATGATAATTAAAGAACCGACGCTGTCTGATGATCATATGGATGCTATGGAAGAATAGGAACGACGCTGTCTGGAATGGGGCTCGGGTGCCGCAGGAGCTGGTGGTCAGAACAGAGGGTTTGTTGCAGGAGTACCAGAAGTGGCATAAAACTGGTACGGTAAAATCCATTAATCCCCCGCAGATGTGGCGGAGAGCTGAAGTTGACTGGGTCAAGTGTTATTCTCTTATTTTGATACAATGATATGTCGAGGGCATTTTTTTATTTACCAAACACAATTAAGGACTCAACTTTTTCAAGAAGTTGTTTTTTTTTTTTTTTTTTAAATTAAATTAAGCAACCCCAAACTGGCCATAATTAAGTTTTCAAAAATATTAATGCTCATAGAAGTTGAACATAATACCTTTTATTTATAAATAAAGACATAAACATCACTACACAGTATATGTTACAACTTACAACTGATTCTTAATAATCTTTAGATGATTGCCCCAAAGAGATAAAACGTATAGTTCACCAGCATTACAACTTACAACTGATTCTTTAGATTATTTGATAAATTTGAACCTAAAAATAAATGAGAAATGAAGAAGAGGGCTTGAGATAGTGATATTTGAGAAGAAGAAAGATTGACAATTCCACACATTTGGGACAACCGTTCGAATGAGTGGAAGAGGATCCTCTCTGGGTTCACTTTGTGGGGGATCTTAGAGATCCCTACATCTTAGCCGTTCATCGCAGATCGTGCCGTCAATTTTCGTCAGGTACTATTTGTGTTTAATTTTAAATTAAAAAAAGTCAAATGATTTCTGACCACACGATGCATTATGAATAGCTAAGATGTGAAGATCACTAGAATTCCCACAATTTGGAACCGAATGGGATTCAAATCCAAAAGGAGTGGGGTGAACTCCATAAAACAAAGTGGTGCATTGTACTAACTGGCGACAATTAAAGACTTTTGACTTGTAATGAGTAAATTTATGGAAAACTCCATCAAGAGACACTGAGTCATGAAGATGTCATTTTCTTATGGAAAACAAAATATTTTGTCATAGTCATATGAAATAAAGGAGAATAATAAAAATAAAACTGGAAGTATCAATTAAGATCATCAAGCTCTTATTCTTTGAAGAAAAAAAATTGAAATAAATTGCCAAATTGCATTTATGGCCCTTGACTATGAATTCTTAATTTCTCAGTTTAATTATTTATGAATTTTCATTCAAGTTGAGTATCATTTTGTATGCTTATGAGCTTGATTTTAATCTTGGTGATTGTCCACCACTTTGGTTTGATTTGATTGTATTTGATGCGAGTTAACACAGATGCCAAACGACTACCCACTAGCATAACTGGTCTTTTAGTGATCCAACGATTATAAACGATGGGCAATTGGTTGATCCAAAAGTCCATATTTAAATTTTTTGAAATCAAATTTATAATTAATTTAAATCAAACGGCTGAATTCTTATATGAAAGACTCACCTTTTTCAAGAAGCTGTTTTTTATTTTTTATTTTTTTTTATTTTTTATTTTATTAAATTAAGCAACCCCAAACTGGCCATAATTAAGTTTTCAAAAATATTAATGCTCATATAAGTTGAACATAATACCTTTTATTTATAAATAAAGAGATAAACATCACTACACAGTATGCGTTACAACTTACAACTGATTCTTAATAATCTTTAGATGATTGCCCCAAAGGGATAAAATGTATAGTTCACCAGCATTATTACAACTTACAACTGATTATTTAGATTATTTGATAAATTTGAACATAAAAATAAATTAGAAATGAAGAAGAGGGGTTGAGATAGTGATATTTAAGAAGAAGGATTGACAATTACACACATTTGGGACAACCGTTAGAATGAGTGGAAGAGGCTCCTCTCCGGGTTCACTTTGTGGGGGATGTAAGAGATCCCCACATCCCAATCGTTCATTGTACAGCGGGCCGTCAATTTTCGTCAGGTACTATTTGTGTTTAATTTTAAATAAAACTAGTCAAATGATTTCTGACCGCATGATGCACGATGAATAGCTAAGATGTGAAGATCACCACAATTTCCACAATTTGGATCCGAATGCGATTCAAATCCAGAAGGTGTGGGGTGGGCTCCATAAAACAAAGTGGTGCATTGTACTAGCTGGCGACAATTAAAGACTTTTGACTTGGAATGAGTAAATTTATGGAAGACTTTAGAGGAAAAATTATTAATTGGAAAAACTTTTTCGTGGTCTGAGAGACACTGAGTCATGAAGATGTCATTTTCTTGTGAAAAATAAAATATTTTGTCACAGTCATACGAAATAAAGGAGAATACTAAAAATAAAACTGGCAGTATCAATTAAGATCATCAAGCTCTTATTCTTTGAAGAAAAAAATTGAAATAAATTGCCAACTTGGATTTATGGCCCTTGACTTGGACTTTGGCCAGATTGCCAAATTGCCAAACTGCATTGGTGGAAGACTTTAACGTCGACTTCTTTTTTTTTTAATTTTTATTTTATTTTATTTTTTTATTCTCTCATATGATAGATTTGTTTGATTAGGGAGCCGATGGGATTTGAACCCACACTGTGGTGCAAGGGTAACACTCCTTTCCACCACTGTGGTAGAAGGCCACTTGCTACTCTAAAATCGACTTGGACTTTGGCCAAAATGCCAAATTGCATTTATATAAAAGACTCCAAAGTCATCCAAGTTGCCAAATTGCATTGTGGAACTCCAAGGACCATGTACAATGATTGGTTTAAAACTCAAATTTTGAGTTTCAAAATGTTAAAACTTGCTGTGGGCCAAATTCTCACCTCCCCTCCCAAAAAAAATTGAGCGAAGGATAGTGGTGGCCCGAGCTCCAACGCGTGAAAGCGCCTACAAAGTGCGCAGCTGTAGCTAAGCAACGCATTAGAAGCATCTCATGCGACAAGTCATCAACTCTTGGGTCCCAAACGACTACCCACTAGCATAACTAGTCTTTTAGTGATCCAAAGATTGGAAACGATGGGCAATTGGTTGATCCAAAAGTCCATATTTAAAATTTTTGAAATCAAATTTATAATTAAATTAAATCGAACAACTGAATTCTTATATTAAATTTACTGTAAAAAAAGAAAGGTCTAACGGTCCAAAATTAAATTGAACGGCTAAAACATTTAAAAGAAATTATTTAAATCAAAATTCACCCAAAAACTCTATAAATACATGTATTTGTTCAAACATCCACCCAAAATTCACTTTCCTCAAACAATTCTTCCATTTTTTTCTACCAACTTCCAAAATTTTCAAGATGGCAAAAGATCATATTAGAATGAGGACCCTTACAAGATGACATTCGATTTTGATGTAATGAGGGAGGACCCCAACAAATACACTTCAAATAGGAAGAAATTATTCCGTGACAAGCAAGTGGAAATTATAAGAAGGAATGCCGTAAGGAATATCTTTGAGGATGATGACCAATATAATGTCTATTACCCAAGTCCACCACGAAATCCACCACAAATTCAAGGACCAAGTCAACCAAATGTTGATGAATATTATTAGTATTAGTAATTGTTGTAATTCTTATGTAATATTTTACTTATCTTTTTAGCGTTTTAACTATGTTTGTATTATTAATTATTGTAAGATTGAAGCATACTATATAGATGACACATCCCGAATTGAAATGTCCACTAGGACTTCGAATCGAACTGTGTTGGCCGACATCTGGAAGGTGACGAAGCCATAAAGTGTAGTGATGTGGAAAATGTAAATAAATTTAAACCTAAAAGTGCCTAAAGACAAGAGTTTGCTAGTGAGCAGGATTGAACCCATTTCATACGTGACGTCAGAGCATAAGAACTGTAGATTAAATAGGGTGAGGGTTATACCATTGAAGATAACCATTAACTGAGATTTGCCAGAGTCTTCGTTTAAACGTAAACACAACTACTAAACTAAAGGGGCGAAAAACAGAAGGGTGAGTGGGCACAAAAATAAAGGATTATAAAATCCGTTTGTTTTCCCGAACATACTAACCCTTCGCTATAAAACATTTATTGTTTCGAAAATATCATACTACGTATAAGTATGAAAATCAAATGATGCCAAATGTAAGTCCAAAGGTACGCCACAACAAATATTCTCAACAATAGTATAGATACGATTACGTGCGGTAATCTATACTAACATATTAGTCGGAGTCACCTAATGTGACTTGTCCGACTGCACCTATCGCTTATCCATCTAGGCTAACACATGTGTCAGAGTCACCTAATGTGACATGTAAGATAGGGCTAGGTGTAATAATACACGCTTTAGTGCTACGATCATGAGAACACTAGCCTTGGCCCGGGGCAAGCACTAACACAGGTGCAGGAATGATGGGCGAACTATATGTAAGCATGCCATAATAATTCAACCATTCAATTCATCATATAACCTTAGCTGGACTTACCTGCATGTCTCGCGTTCATATTAACATTTCAAACCATTCACTTCAATTACATGCAGGTAATATGCTTATGGGTATGCCATGATGCAATATAAAACTCAACAACATTATAGCATATAAAAAAAAAAAAAATTCATGGCATAAATGCATAAAACCATTTAAAAACATTCATGGAAACTATAAAGTATATATGTAATATACAAAAACAAAATGCCCACCTTCATTTAGCACGAGGCCTTTTGGGAACTCACTGGCTTCGGGTTTCATCGGAACTCTGAAGTTAAGCGAATTCGGGCGAGAGCAATCCTAGGATGGGTGACCAACTGGGAACTTCTCGTCTGAGTTCCCATAAACAAAACCATGAAGGCGTGGTCGAGGCCCAAAACGGACAATATCGTGCTACGGCAAAGCCAGTCTAGGATGTGACAGAATGGTATCAGAGCCACTCTGCTGTGTGGTGCAAGTGTGCCTATGAGGACGTCGGGCCTCTAAGGGGGGTGGATTGTAACATCCCACATTGACCAATGGAGATAGGGTGATGTGCCTTATATGTACATGCCCACCTCCATATAACACAAGGCCATTAGAACTTCGAAGTTAAGCGAATTCGGGCGAGAGCATGCCCGTGATGGGTGACCCATTGGGAAGTTCTCGCGTGAGTTCTCAAAAACTAAACCGTGAGGTTGTGGTTGGGGCCCAAAGAGGATAATGTCGTGCTACGGTGGAGTCGAGCCCGGGATGAGACAATTTGGTATCAAAGCCAATCTCTGGCTGAAAGTGTGCCGACGAGGACGTCGGGCCCCTAAGGGGTGGATTGTTAGATCCCACATCGCCCAGGGAAGCGGATCCTTTATGCCTTATATATACATGCCCACCTTCATACAGCACGAGGCCTTTTGGGAGTTCACTAGCTTCGGATTCCATCGGACCTCCGAAGTTAAGCGAGTTCAGGCGAGAGCATTCCCAGGATGAGTGACCCACTAGGAAATTCTCGCGTGAGTTCCCAGAAACAAAACCGTGAGGGTATGGTTGGGGCCCTAAGCCGACAATATCGTGCTACGGCGGAGTCGAGCCCAGGATGTGGTGGAGCCGGGATCGGGATGTGACAATAGAACTATTTGAAGTTTCAAAGTTTTAATCCTTATCTTTATAAAAATGTAATTATTGTTCCATGACTTCCATGTTTCAAGGGGCAGGTTTATAGGAATTTAAATATTTTTAAGTTAAAATGTTCACAAAACTTAATCAAGATAATTTACATAAATTTTACTTTTAAAAAAAGTAACCGACAAAAAATTAAGCCAAAATCATTCTTTAATAATCTCGACCTAAAATTTTTAGCCAAAACTATTGGAGGATAAAAATTATTTTTGAGTTAAAACCTAAATTTTTAGCCAAAACTATTGTTGTATTATTATTTTTTTTTTTCAAAACTGCTTATATTGTGTTGTGAGAATAAATAATTGTGAAAAGAGTAGGTAAGTGTAATGGTAAATTATAGTGCTAAAAGTGCTTTTAGAAGAAAAAAAATGATGGGATAGGATTGTCAATATGAAAGTTTCATTAATTACTTGCGTCCCTTGGAAGAAAAAATGCTTTTTTGAGAAGCATGTGTAGATTTGCTTCTCTCTTTAGCTGTTTTAGACCTATGATTTGGGGGGAAAAAAATAATAAAAAAACTTTTTTTTATTTACCAAACAAAATTAAGGCCCCAACATTTTAAAGAAAGTTGCTTTTAAAAATTTTAAGCAACCCTAACCTAGCCATAATTAAGTTTTCAAAATTATTATTGCTCGTAAAAGTTGAACACAATACCTTTTATTGATAAATAAAAAGATAAATATCACTACACATTACGTGTTACAACTGATTCTTAATAATCTTTAGATGTTGCTCCAAAGAGATAAAACATAAAGTCCACTAGCATTTCCCAAATTTTGTTTTATTTGATAAGTGAACTTATGACACGAAACAGAATAACTTTAATGAGAAGAAGAAAAAATAGAAATAAATGAGATGTGAACAAGAGGGCAGGGCTGAGATAGGGATATTTGAGAAGAAAGATTGACAATTACACACATTTGGGACTAAGTACATTGTATATTATAGGAAAGAACCGTTAGAAGGAGAGGGGTAGGCCCCATACAATTACACGCATTTGGGACAAAGACTTTGACTTATCTTGTGCGTACAAAACATTTTCCAAGTCCTGTATCTTTTTTCTCTCCCACCCCCTCTTTCGGTACGGGTTGAATTGAATTAATTACAATAGCTCATGGATGCCATTATAAATAAGCCCTAGGAGTAGAGTCTAATATGTACACAAAATTAAACGCTAGCGGCCATGACATCTTTAGATTTTCATAAACTCTGCCTTTTGGCTTATTGCCTTGTCTTATTCGTACAACTTCTTTCACCGCCAAGTTGCTTTGCTTTTGTTTCTGCTACTTCTACCATGGAAGCAGAAGCGCTTCTCAAATGGAAAGCCACCTTTCAAAACCATACCCGCCTGCAAAATCTGACATCGTGGGCTTACCTACCTGCTCATGCAAAAGCAGCCCCATGCTTCTGGATTGGTATTTCATGCAATGTTGTTGGGAGTGTCAGTGTGATAAACCTTACCAATTTTGGGATACAAGGTACGCTACATGAGTTTTCCTTCTTATCTTTCCCCAATCTTCAATACCTCAATCTTAGCTACAATAATCTCTTTGATGTCATTCCAGCTAAAATCAGTTCCCTCTCCAAACTCATCTCCCTTGATCTTTCTAACAATTGGCTCAGTGGTTCAATCCCAACATCCTTAGGTCAGCTCACAAACCTTTCCACTCTCAATCTCGGTAGTAATAATCTTTCTGGCACTATTCCTAAAGAGATAGGGAATTTGAAATCTCTTGTGGACCTAGGATTGTCTTATAACCAGCTCATCGGTTCAATCCCAACGTCTCTAGGTCAGCTCACAAACCTTTCCACTCTCTATCTCGGTATGAATAATCTTTCTGGCACTATTCCTAAAGAGATAGGGAATTTGAAATCTCTTGTGGACCTAGAATTGTCTTATAACCAGCTCATCGGTTCAATCCCAACGTCTCTAGGTCAGCTCACAAACCTTTCCACTCTCTATCTCCATCGTAATAATCTTTCTGGCACTATTCCTAAAGAGATAGGGAATTTGAAATCTCTTGTGGACTTAGAATTGTCTTATAACCAGCTCATCGGTTCAATCCCAACATCTCTAGGTCAGCTCACAAACCTTTCCACTCTCTATCTCAATAATAATAATCTTTCTAGCACTATTCTTAAAGAGATAGGGAATTTGAAATCTCTTGTGGACCTAGGATTGTCTGAGAATCAGCTCAATGGTTCAATCCCAACATCCCTAGGTCAGCTCACAAACCTTTCCACTCTCTATCTAGATAGTAATAATCTTTCTGGCACCATTCCTAAAGAGATAGGGAATTTGAAATCTATTGTGGGCCTAGAATTGGCTAAGAATCAGCTCAACGGTTCAATCCCAACATCCCTAGGTCAGCTTACAAACCTTTCCACTCTCATGCTCCATCATAATAATCTTTCTGGCACTATTCCTAAAGAGATAGGGAATTTGAAATCTCTTGTGGACCTAGGATTGTCTTATAACCAGCTCATCGGTTCAATCCCAACGTCTTTAGGTCAGCTCACAAACCTTTCCACTCTCTCTCTCGGTATGAATAATCTTTCTGGCACTATTCCTAAAGAGATAGGGAATTTGAAATCTCTTGTGGACCTAGAATTGTCTTTTAACCAGCTCATCGGTTCAATCCCAACGTCTCTAGGTCAGCTCACAAACCTTTCCACTCTCTATCTCCATCGTAATAATCTTTCTGGCACTATTCCTAAAGAGATAGGGAATTTGAAATCTCTTGTGGACCTAGAATTGTCTTATAACCAGCTCATCGGTTCAATCCCAACATCTCTAGGTCAGCTCACAAACCTTTCCACTCTCTATCTCAATAATAATAATCTTTCTGGCACTATTCTTAAAGAGATAGGGAATTTGAAATCTCTTGTGGACCTAGGATTGTCTGAGAATCAGCTCAATGGTTCAATCCCAACATCCCTAGGTCAGCTCACAAACCTTTCCACTCTCTATCTCGGTAGTAATAATCTTTCTGGCACTATTCCTAAAGAGATAGGGAATTTGAAATCTCTTATGTCCTTACAATTGTATGAGAATCAGCTCAGCGGTTCAATGCCCCAAAATATTTGCTGTAGTGGACAACTCCAAAACCTTTCAGTGATAAATAACCATTTGACAGGTCCAATCCCCAAAAGCTTGAAAACATGCAAGAGCTTAGTTAGAGTTCGTCTTGAAGGGAACCAATTCACAGGCAATATATCAAAAGACTTTGGTGTTTATCCAAATCTTAATTTCATAGGTATGAGTCACAATAAGTTTTATGGTGAAATTTCACAAAAATGGGGACAGTGCGCAAAATTAGAAACCTTACTAATTGCAGGAAACAACCTCACTGGCAGCATACCTCCCGAGATTGTCAATGCTGACAAAATCCATAAACTCGACCTCTCTTTAAATCACTTAGTTGGGGCCATTCCGAAGGAGTTCGGGAGAATGACTTCTTTGCAGAAGTTGATGCTGAATGAAAATCAACTTTCAGGCTGTATACCTTCGGAATTTGGATCACTCGTTGATCTTGAATATCTCGACTTGTCCTCAAACAAATTCAATGGGTCAATTGCGAGCACATTCGGCAACTTTCTCAAAGTGTACCATCTGAATTTGAGCAACAATCAATTTTCCCAAGGAATTCCATTGAAGTTCGAAAAGTTAGTTCAGTTGAACGACCTTGATTTAAGTCACAACTCACTTGAAGGTAGTATACCCGCTGAAATTAGCAATATGGAGAGTCTACAGACGCTCAATCTTTCTCACAACAATCTTTCGGGTTTCATACCATCAAGTTTTGAAGGCATGCATGGCTTGTCATATGTGGATATATCTTACAATGAATTGGAAGGTCCCCTTCCCAACAACAGAGCCTTTCGACAAGCTTCGCCAGAAGCTTTACAAGGAAACAAAGGACTGTGCGGCAACGTTGAAGTTTTGCAATCTTGCACAATTGGCCCAAGAAAGGAACGCAAATGGGTATTTGGAATCACATTCTCTCTTGTAGCAGCAATTTTACTTATTTTTGCTTTCTTTACAATTAAATTCGTAGTGCAAAGAAAGAAGAAAAGTCTAGAAAAAGAAGAAAAAAACTTGGATGAAGGAATATCGTTTTCAGTTTTAAATTTTGATGGAAAGTCAATGTATGAGGAAATCATAAGGGCGACAAAAAATTTTGATTCCACATATCGCATCGCGAGTGGAGCACAAGGAAGTGTCTACAAAGCAAATTTGTCAAGTGACAACGTAGTGGCTGTGAAAAAAATACATCAATTGTGGGATGGTGAGAAGAATTTGGAGACGGCATTCTTGAATGAAATAAGGGCACTAACAGAGATAAGACACCGGAATATTGTGAAGCTTTATGGTTTCTGTTCACACCATCGACACTCGCTCTTGGTGTACGAGTTTGTTGAAAGAGGTAGCTTGGCCACAATTTTGAGCAAAGATGAAGAAGCTAAAGAAGTTGGGTGGAGAAAAAGGGTTAATATTGTTGACGGTGTAGCTCATGCCTTGGCATACATGCACCACGATTGCTTGCCACCAATTGTGCACCGGGACATATCAACTAAGAATATTTTGTTGGATTCTAAATATGAGGCCTCTGTTTCAGACTTTGGCACTGCTAAGTTTTTGAATCCAGGCTCAACAACTTGGACTGCCGTTGCAGGCACATATGGGTATGTCGCACCAGGTAATATGTTTTTTTTTCCTTTTAAGCTTATTAATTGAGTGTTGATTATGATTAATTTTTTGGCAAAATTTATTTCTTTTCGTTAGGATGGATTAAACAGACCATGTTACATGCTTTGATTTTGAAAGAACATTCATCTAACGTATAAGCCATAGTTGGGTTTATTTTATGCTCTTATAAGTCAGCACCCTCTTTCCTTATAGCTAAAACATAAAATAAAAAAAAAAGTAAAAAATAATAGTAATAAAAAAATGGAAAAAAAGAAAACCAATTATAAACATGCGAACTATAGTAACATCTAATTTAATAAGTAATACCAATCGAGATGTTAATGAATTACTAAAAACTATCTAATTAAAACAACTTGTAGTAAACATGGAAACTGCAATAAGAAAACAAATACCATGTAAGATTTACCTCTTTTGCCAAAAAGCCAATCTCTAATACATAACAATGCTTGAACGGTTTCAGGCAATAAACAACTACGATATTGATCGAGCACTCTAGCACCAATACTAAATACTGATTTTGAGGTGACAGTAGAAACAAGAATTGTTAATACATCACAACTACGATAGTTATGGTTTCTCTCAAGTCTTTCTTCATCAAGATATTTACGTAATTCATATTTTGTACTTAAAATTGAGCCCCGTTTGTAACGTTTATCGAATATCAAGAATAAACATATCGAAGAGAGCCCATGTCTTGTATTCCTCTGATCATATACCAACAATAAGCATTAATTTTACCTCAAAAGTTTAGTTTGACCCAAGGTCTGATTCATTGGATTTGAATGATGACAAGATACTTCTACATGAAGTTGAAAGGCAATATGAAAATTTTATTATGATGCATCTATGAGCAACTTTTAGCAAGCTAATAGTCCGCACTAATAAGAAATCCCTAAAACCACCACACTAATAAAAATTCTCAAATTTTGAAGAAAAATCCCCACACTAACAAAAAATCTCAAAAACCCAATATTCAACTATAGTTGAAAATCGAAATTAAGCCAAAACGAAACCTTCATTACCCAAATTAAGCTAATAGTCCAGTAACCCAACAAGAAAGACAAAGTAAAATCACCTCTAGATGACTGTCATTGATTCAACGCAGAGAGAGCGCGAGCTGCTTCATATTGTTCTAAATTGAGAGAGAGAGAGAGTGAGAAATCGTTCGAGGACGGAGGGCCGAATGCCGAAGTGAGAGATCGTGAGAGGGGAGGGGGCGCAGTGGCAGAGTAAGATTGTGAGGAAGCAGAGTGAGAGAAGAGGGCAGAGTTGGTGGAGCAAGAGAGAGATTGCAGACTGTATCTCTTAGATAGGATTTCAAAAATTACAAAACTAACCCTCTTTAATGGGTGATTTATGATTACGGGTTTTTTGGGATTACTCGAGACCAACTATTTTAATCGAGCTTGTTAAGTCTTTCCCCATTAATTAAAATTTTGCGAGCAAATTGAGTCGGGTTAGTTTGTTCAAAATTTTCGCTCTTTATCTTCAGTTTAGTTATTATAATATATGCAAACTAATAGTCCCAATATTGCTATGGTCTTATTATAAGCAGAACTTGCATATACCATGGAAGTGAACGAAAAATGCGATGTTTATAGTTTTGGAGTGGTTGCTATGGAAACAATCATGGGAAGGCATCCTGGTGATTTTTTCTCATCATTCTTATCAGTGTCTTCTTCGTCCACGTCGTCATCAGCATCAACATTACCATCCCAACAAATGTCAGTTGTGGATGTTCTGGACCAACGCATTTTGCCTCCAACGCATCAAGAAGCAGGGGAAGTACTTTCTCTTATGAAGATTGCGTTTTCATGTTTGAATCCCAGTCCGCATTCTCGCCCTACAATGAGACAAGTTACTCAACTCATCTCAACTCAGAAGTTGCATTTGTCGAAGCCAATACGTATGATAACTTGTGGTGAATTGCTTGCTTTAGATCCTTTGACGGCCTGAGAAGCAGAGAGTGCTTGTTTTCGATAAATAAATTTCGAGTCTTCCTTTCAGAAGAAAGATTCTTCGTAGATGTTTCTGTATTGCAATTTATTTTTATGCACTAGTTTGCTTGGGCTCTAGTCACTTTATGCAGAACACTTAATGTTTTTTCAGTTAAAACTGTGTTTACGCTTGTGAGGAAGAAATAGAAGTTAATAAAACAAAGAATTGGTTTTCATGCACAGGGATAATGACTGGCTGAGAATGCAATGGGTACACTTATATTACTATTTCTATTTATGTATACGGACAAACGTAAAGTCATAGACAAAAGCAACCGAGAAGCAGACCAAAAGCAATCGGGTTCTGGCCTAAATAGCCTGCGATAGGTCTTCACATGAACTCCTTGTGGCAAGGCAGGCTTATCACTCTCTATACAAGAAATCCCTCGAGGAGGATGTTGGGCATCACACAACTGGGGACTGCTGCAAGGTAAAGTTGCTAGAGTATAACTTTTTCAACATATTATATTATATAGGGTAAATTATAGGGTTCTTTAGAAAAAGACCCTTGAAACTCCTACTTTTCAATAAAAAGCCCACCAAATATTAAACATCCAAATAAAACTCAAATTTCAAATAGAGTACCATGTAGACAAATATGTAACCAATTATTATTACATATTTACAACTTATGTCACAAAACCCTGATTATGTCAATAAATATTATTACTCACCCTAATTATGATTAGCAATTAACCCCATATGGAAATTTTACCTTTCTTGTATGATAAATATTAGGAACATATATATATATATATATATATATATATTAATTTAGCCATGTTCATAAATAATTATGGGCAAATTTTTCATATGGAAAAAAAAAATCCTTTGTACAATCAGTTATTTTGCATCAAATAATAATATTTTTTGATAAAAACAACAAAGAACCAATTAATATTCTTTTATGTTGTAGGGAATTATTTTACCTAGATTATTACATACATTACGCATTTTTTTATTTGTTATCATATGTGCTTGTTAAAAATAATTTATCTATATTTATATGTCAAACATAAGTAAATTAATTTTGAATCAAATAATAGTGGTTCCATTATGTTGGTAAAGTTAAATAGTGCCTAAATTATTTCGTAAAAATTAAACCAAGACAAATTATCTCCATTAAAATAAAACAATAGATATTCGACAAAAATAAAAATAAAAATAAAAAAGTAGATACATTATTTTCTTATAAGATTAAACAATAGGTAAACTATATTGTAGGTACATTATGTTTATAATATTAAAAAAGAAATTGAAAACCATAAACAAAATGTAGTAGATATATTATTTTTTAATCAAATTTCCTTTAATTGTAGGTGAATTATGTTCATGCATTATTATATATATTGGGCACATTTTACAACTAATATATATGTGCAAAAATTTACCTATATTATTATATAAAATATAGATAAATTTATTTTGAATCAAATAATATTTTTTATTTTATAAGTAAGTTATTTTGCATGTATCAGGCCCGGCCTTGGCCCAATGCTAACAAGGCTACTGTCCAGGATCCAAAATTGCTGAGGGCACCAAATTTTATTTTTAGACATACAAGTATATTAAAAATTAAAAAAAAAAAAAAAATGCAACAGTGCCCGCCGTCCTGCGTCTTCGAATCTTCACCATCGACGCTTCCAAGTTCCAAGCCTTTCTCTTCGTCTTCATAAGTTCTTCGCGACCACACTACAGGCTAAGGCTGCACGGTCCACCCACACCCAGATCCAACGGTCCACACAGACCTGCCTGCCTCCACCACCACCTGACCACCGTCGCCCATCGGATGATCGCCGATCTAATGCCGATGATATTAAATCCCGACTCCATAGGCCAACCCAACCGCGCAGCCGTGGCGAAGCGAGTTTCAAATGCATCCGCATTGAGTCAGGGTGTCAAGTCGGTCTTTCGGTTCGTTCGATTCGCCGAGATCGAAACCCTCTTTCGTTGTCTTCATCATCGCTTTTATCATTTTCAAAGATCTTGTAAGTTCCCCATTCCTTTTTTCTCATATTTCTTCTGATTTCTTTGCTTAGATTCCTAAGTATGGTTTTGGTTAATTATGTAATTTTAATTTTCTGGAAACTGATTATGTTCATATAATTATACAGATTCTTCAAATTTGTTGACTCGTGCTGATTGAGTTGGGCAAAACTTTTCTAGGCATTTGATGTGATGATAATTAAAGAACCGACGCTGGCTGATGATCATATGGATGCTATGGAAGAATAGGAACGACGCTGTCTGGAATGGGGCTCGGGTGCCGCAGGAGCTGGTGGTCAGAACAGAGGGTTGGTTGCAGGAGTACCAGAAGTGGCATAAATCTGGTACGGAAAAATCCATTAATCCCCCGCAGATATGGCGGAGAGCTGAAGTTGACTGGGTCAAGTGTTATTCTCTTATTTTGATACAATGATATATCTATACTAGGGTTTTTATTCCAAGAACAGACATTTATTTTATTTTATTTTATTTTATTTTATTTTTTTATTTTTTATAATACCTTTTATTTATAAATAAAGACATAAACATCACTACACAACTTACAACTGATTCTTTAGATTATTTGATAAATTTGAACCTAAAAATAAATGAGAAATGAAGAAGAGGGCTTGAGATAGTGATATTTGAGAAGAAGAAAGATTGACAATTCCACACATTTGGGACAACCGTTCGAATGAGTGGAAGAGGATCCTCTCCGGGTTCACTTTGTGGGGGATCTTAGAGATCTCCACATCCTAGCCGTTCATCGCACATCGTGCTGTCAATTTTCTTCATGTACTATTTGTGTTTAATTTTAAATAAAAAAAAAGTCAAATGATTTCTAACCGCACGATGCATGATGAATAGCTAAGATGTGAAGATCACTAGAATTCTCACAATTTGGATCCAACTGGGATTCAAATCCAAAAGGAGTGGGGTGGACTCCATAAAACAAAGTGGTGCATTGTACTAACTGGCGACAATTAAAGACTTTTAACTTAGAATGAGTAAATTTATGGAAGACTCCATCAAGAGACACTGAGTCATGAAGATGTCATTTTCTTGTGGAAAACAAAATATTTTGTCATAGTCATATGAAATAAAGGAGAATAATAAAAATAAAACTGGAAGTTTCAATTAAGATCATCAAGCTCTTATTCTTTGAAGAAAAAAATTGAAATAAATTGCCAAATTGCATTTATGGCCCTTGACTATGAATTCTTAATTTCTCAGTTTAATTATTTATGAATTTTCATTCAAGTTGAGTATCATTCTGTATGCTTATGAGCTTGATTTTAATCTTGGTGATTGGCCACCACTTTGGTTTGAGTTGATTGTATTTGATGCGAGTTAACACAGATGCCATGTTATTAATTCGGCTTTACCATCTTGCAAATGGTACCATGAATTCCTTGATGTAGATGCCATGCACTAGGTTTCATGCGGTCTCTTAAGTAGTTCCCAAGTTGTTAAGGAACTCGTGTGTGTTTAGTAATCTAGATGCTATAGATTGTTAGCACAAATGAGCATACATAGTAATCTAGATGCCGTGGATACTATATGAATTAGAGGAACTAGACCATCAATTTGGATGATTACTCATTAATAATTGGAATTGAGTTGGATTGGTTATGGTGAATCAGATGCTCTAGTGTTTTTTACAATTGAATTATAATTTGTTTACTTTGTCGTTGTCATCACTTAGCTAAGTTCATTTCATTTTATTTACAATTACAATTTCAAAATTCTTATAATCATCGATTTTTCTATTCCAATCCAAGTGCAATGCAAATTAAGTTAGATAATTAGAATTATTTCAATCTTAGTTGGAACGATTGTACTTGCCTACTATACTACTTAATGATTCGTACACTTGCGAGCATTAAAATTTAGATTTAATTTGGTTGATTTCGTTTAATCTAATTTTGGCAACACTCCACATTCAAATATTTCAATATTGAACGTATCCAAATTTTGCCACGTGGAAAATCAATGCAGAAGGAAAGGGAGGGTGGGGTACTAATAATTGAAATGGTGTGTGATGAGAATATTCTTGCCTATTACTGAAGTCTGGAAAAGAAATTGCAGTATGCATATTGCATTTGGAATGCGCCCTCAATTTCGAGCTAATTACATATGTGCCATTGGTTTTTTCGTTTCATTTACAGGACTGCCACTGTTGGGTTTATGGAATTAGGTTGGATTACAATTATCTGAGCCCAATGAAAGTATTGGTCCAGTGGAAGACTTCATTGTGAGGAGTGCATTATGTAATCGAGAAAGTCAGAATGTATAATTTATCTGTGTTGGCCTTTCACTTAGAATTACTCACCTATGTCTCACTTAGAATTATAATAGGCTTCTTCTGGTAGGATTGGCATGTGGGTTCGTTGTTGTTGTTTAACTTTTATATCTTTCAAAAATAATGTTTCATTTACTTTTCAATCCCGCAGCAGCGTGCGGGTAGTGGGACTCTAAGTTATAACATATGCTTCTCTTACACGTGTTGGTTTATGATTGATCATAGTTTGTTAGACGATTTTAGAGTATTCCTTGAAGCTTGTGAATGTGATCCTCAACAGCTCTAATTTAGGAGAAATTATATTATCAAGACATAAAAATTCACACATACCTGGTGCCCTTGATTCCCAGATCCACACATACCCAACTCTATGGTCATAGCCTTTCTCTTTTTGGCTCTAGTCCAATTTCGGATAGAAGAACTTCTTCTAATTTAGGTAACTTAATTTCAGCACCTTCACAATAAAATCTGCACAGTGGTGACTTTGCTTGATAACGTTATTCTCTTATTTTGATACAACGATATATCAATACTAAGGATTTTATTACAAGAACAAACATTTTTTTATTTACCAAACACAATTAAGGACTCAACTTTTTCAAGAAGCTATTTTTTTTTTTAAATTAAGCAACCCGAAACTGGCCATAATTAAGTTTTCAAAAATATTAATGCTCATAGAAGTTGAACATAATACCTTTTATTTATAAATAAAGAGATAAACATCACTACACAGTATGTGTTACAACTTACAACTGATTCTTAATAATCTTTAGATGATTGCCCCAGAGAGATAAAACGTATAGTTCACCAACATTATTACAACTTACAACTGATTATTTAGATTATTTGATAAATTTGAACAAAAAAATAAATGAGAAATGAAGAAGAGGGGTTGAGATAGTGATATTTAAGAAGAAGGATTGACAATTACACACATTTGGGACAACTGTTAGAATGAGTGGAAGAGGATCCTCTCCGGGTTCACTTTGTGGGGGATCTTAGAGATCCCCACATCCCAATCGTTCATCGTACAGCGTGCCGTCAATTTTCGTCAGGTACTATTTTTGTTTAATTTTAAATAAAAAAAGTCAAATGATTTCTGACCACACGATGCATGATGAATAGCTAAGATGTGAAGATCACTACAATTTCCACAATTTGGATCCGAATGCGATTCAAATCCAGAAGGAGTGGGGTGGGCTCCATAAAACAAAATGGTGCAGTGTACTAGCTGGCGACAATTAAAGACTTTTGACTTGGAATGAGTAAATTTATGGAAGACTCCAGAGGAAAAATTATTAATTGGAAAAACTTTTTCGTGGTCTGAGAGACACCGAGTCATGAAGATGTCATTTTCTTGTGGAAAATAAAATATTTTGTCACAGTCATATGAAATAAAGGAGAATACTAAATGTAAAACTGGAAGTATCAATTAAGATCATCAAGCTCTTATTCTTTGAAGGAAAAAAATGGAAAAAAATTGCCAACTTGCATTTATGGCCCTTGACTTGGACTTTGGCCAGATTGCCAAATTGCCAAACTACATTGATAGAAGACTCTAATGTCGACTTTTTTTTTTTTTTAGGGAGTCGACGGGATTCGAACCCACACTGTGGTGCAAGGGCAACATTCCTCTCCACCAATGTGGTAGAGGGCCACTTGCTACTCTAAAATCGACTTGGACTTTGGCCAAAATGCCAAATTGCATTTATATAAAAGACTCCAAAGTCATCCAAGTTGCCAAATTGCATTTGTGGAACTCCGAGGACCATGTACAATGATTGGTTTAAAACTCAAATTTTGAGTTTCAAAATGTTAAAACTTGCTTTGGGCCAAATTCTCACCTCCCCTCCCAAAAAAATGAACCAAGGATAGTGGTGGCCCGAGCTCCAACGCGTGAAAGTGCCTACAAAGTGCCCAGCTGTAGCTAAGCAACACATCAGAAGCATCTCATGCGACAAGTCATCAACTCTTGGTCCCAAACAACTACCCACTAGCATAACTGGTCTTTTAGTGATCCAACGATTACAAACGATGGGCAATTGGTTGATCCAAAAGTCCATATTTAAATTTTTTGAAATCAAATTTATAATTAAATTAAATCAAACGGCTGAATTCTGATATTAAATTAACTGTAAAAAAAAGGTCTAACGGCCCAAAATTAAATTGAACGGCTAAAACATTTAAAAGAAATTATTTAAATCAAAATTCACCCAAAAACTCTATAAATACATGTATTTGTTCAAACATCCACCCAAAATTCACTTTCCTCAAACAATTCTTCCATTTTTTTTTCTACCGACTTCCAAAATTTTCAAGATGACAAAAGATCATATTAGAAGGAGGACCCCTACAAGATGACATTCGATTTTGATGTAATGAGGGAGGACCCCAACAAATACACTTCAAATAGGAAGAAATTATTCCGCGACAAACAAGTGGAAATTATAAGAAGGAATGCTGTAAGGAATATCTTTAGTAATTGTTGTAATTCTTATGTAGTATTTTACTTATCGTTTATTAATCTTTATTTAGCGTTTTAATTATGTTTGTATTATTAATTATTGTAAGATTGAAGCATACTATATAGATGACACATCTTGACTTGAAATATCCACTAGAACTTCGAATCGAGCTGTGCTGGCTGACACCTAGAAGGTGACGAAGCCATAAAGTGTAGTAATGTGGAAAATGTAAATAAATTTAAACGTAAAAGTGCCTAAAGACAAGAGTGCGCTGGTGAGCGGGATTGAACCCATTTCACACGTGACGTCAGAGCATAGGAATTGTACATTAAATAGGATGAGGGTTATACCATTGAAGATAACCATAAACTGAGATTTTCCAGAGTCCTCATTTAAACATAAACACAACTACTAAACCTAGAGGGGCGAAAAATAGAAGGGTGAGTGGGTACAAAAATAAAGGTTTATAAAATCCATTTATTTTCTCGAACATACTAACCCCTCGCTGTAAAACATGTATGGTTTCCAAAATATCATACTACGTATAAGTATGAAAATCAAATGATGCCAAATGTAAGTCCAAAGGTACGCCACAACAAATATTCTCAACAACAGTATAGATATGATTATGCGCCATAATCTATACTAACATGTTAGTTGGAGTCACCTAATGTGACCTGTACGACTGGACCTATTCTTATCCATCTAGGCTAACACACAAGTCAGAGTCACCTAATGTGACATGTACGACAGGGCTATGTGTAATAATATACGTTATAGTGTTACAATCACATGAAGATTAACCTTGGCCCGGGGCAAGCACTAACACTGGTGCAGCAATGATGAGCAAACTATATGTAAGCATGCCATAATAATTCAACCATTCAATTCATCACATAACCTTACCTGGACTTACCTACGTGTCCCGCATTCAAATTAACATTTCAAACCATTCACTTTAATTACATGCCGGTAATATGCATATGGGTATGCCATGATGCAATATAAAACTCAACCAGATTATAGCATAAAAAAAAAAAAAATCATGGCATAAATGCATAAAACCATTTAAAAACATTTATGGAAACTATAAAGTAAATACGTAATATACAAAAACAAAATGCCCACCTTCATTTAGCATGAGGCCTTTTGGGAACTCACTAGCTTCGGGTTCCATCGAAACTCCGAAGTTAAGCGAATTCGGGCGAGAGCAATCCTAAGATGGGTGACCCACTGGGAACTTCTCGTCTGAGTTCCCATAAACAAAACCATGAGGGCGTGGTCGAAGCCTAAAACGGACAATATCGTGCTACGGCAGAGCTAGTTTAGGATGTGATAGAATGGTATCAGAGCCACTCTGCTGTGTGGTGCGAGTGTCCCTACGAGGACGTCGGGCCTCTAAAGGGGTGGATTATAACATCCCACATTGACTAATGGAGATAGGATGATGTGCCTTATATGTACATGCCCACCTCCATATAATACAAGGCCATCGGAACTCCGAAGTTAAGCGAGTTCAAGCGAGAGCATGCCCATGATGGGTGACCCACTGGGAAGTTCTCGCGTGAGTTCTCAGAAACAAAACCGTGAGGGCGTGTTGGGGGCCTAAAAAGGGCAATGCCGTGCTACGGTGGAGTCGAGCCCGGGATGTGACGATTTGGTATCAGAGTCAATCTCTGGCTGGAAGTGTGCTGACGAGGACATCGGGCCCCTCAGGGGGTGGATTGTTAGATCCCACATCGCCCAGGGGAGCGGATCCTCTATGCCTTATATACATATGCCCACCTTCATACAGCACAGGGGCCTTTTGGGAGTTCACTAGCTTCGGATTCCATCGGACGTCTGAAGTTAAGCGAGTTCAGGCGAGAGCATTCCCAGGATGGGTGACCCACTGGGACATTCTCGTGTTAGTTCCCAGAAACAAAACCTTGAGGGCATGGTTGGGGCCCAAAGCGGACAATATCGTGCTACGGCGGAGTCAAGCCCAGGATGTGGTAGAGCCCAAATCGGGATGTGACAATAGAACTATTTCAAGTTTCAAAGTTTTAATCCTTATCTTTATAAAAATGTAATTATAGTTCCATGAATTCCATGTTTCAAGGGGCAGGTTTATAAGAATTGAAATATTTTTAAGTTAAAATGTTCACAAAACTAAATCAAGATAATTTACATAAATTTTACTTTTAAAAAAATTAAGCTAAAATAATTCTTTAATAATCTCGACCTAAAATTTTTAGCCAAAACTATTGGAGGATAAAAATTATTTTTGAGTTAAAACCTAAATTTTTTTATACGACACAATCATGGAGGTAGATTTGAGGCTAGTTTGGGGTTGTTGTATTATTTTTTTTTTCAAAGCTGCTTATACTGTATTGTGAGAATAAATAGTTGTGAAAAGAGCAGGTAAGTGTAATGGTAAATTATAGTGCTAAAAGTTCTTTTAGAAGAAACAAAATGATGAGATAGGATTGTCAATATGAAAGTTTCATTAATTGGTATTGTTCACTTGCGTCCCTTGGAAAAAAAAAAATGCTTTTTTGAGAAGCATGTGTAGAGTTGCTTCTGTTTTTAGCTGTTTTAGACCTACGATTTGGGGGGGGAAAATAATAAAAAAACTTTTTTTTATTTACCAAACACAACTAAGGACCCAACATTTTAAAGAAAGTTGCTTTTAAAAATTTTAAGCAACCCTAACCTAGCCATAATTAAGTTTTGAAAATTATTAATGCTCGTAAAAGTTTAACACAATACCTTTTATTAATAAATAAAAAGATAAATATCACTACACATTACGTGTTACAACTGATTCTTAATAATCTTTAGATGATTGCTCCAAAGAGATAAAACATAAAGTCCACTATCATTTCCCAAATTTTGTTTTATTTGATAAGTGAACTTATGACACCAAACGGAATAACTTGAATGAGAAGAAAAAAAATAGAAATAAATGAGATGTGAACAAGAGGGCAGGGTTGAGATAGGGATATTTGAGAAGAAAGATTGACAATTACACACAGTTGGGACTAAGTACATTGTATATTATAGGAAATAACCATTAGAAGGAGAGGGGTGGGCCCCATACAATTACACGCATTTGCGACAAAGACTTTGACTTATCTTGTACGTACAAAACATTTTGCAAGTCCTGTATCTTTCTTCTCTCCCACCCCCTCTTTCAGTACGGGTTGAATTGAATTAATTACAATAGCTCATTCCAGCTCAGATCAGTTCCCTCTCCAAACTCATCTCCCTTGATCTTTCTAACAATTGGCTCAGCGGTTCAATCCCAACATCCCTAGGTCAGCTTACAAACCTTTCCACTCTCTATCTCTTCCGTAATAATCTTTCTGGCACTATTCCTAAAGAGATAGAGAATTTGAAATATCTTGTGGACCTAGAATTGTCTAATAACCAGCTCATCGGTTCAATCCCAACATCTCTAGGTCAGCTCACAAACCTTTCCACTCTTTATCTCAGTAGTAATAATCTTTCTGGCACTATTCCTAAAGAGATAGGGAATTTGAAATCTCTTGTGGATCTAAAATTGTCTTATAACCAGCTCATCGGTTCAATCCCAACATCCCTAGGTCAGCTCACAAACCTTTCCACTCTCTATCTCTATAGTAATAATCTTTCTGGCACTACTCCTAAAGAGATAGGGAATTTGAAATCTCTTGTGCACCTAGCATTGTTTGAGAATCAGCTCAGCGGTTCAATCCCAACATCCCTAGGTCAGCTCACAAACCTTTCCACTCTCTACCTCAATCATAATAATCTTTTTAGCACTACTCCTAAAGAGATAGGGAATTTGTAATCCCTTGTGCACCTAGCATTGTCAGAGAATCAGCTCAGTGGTTCAATCCCAACATCCCTAGGTCAACTCACAAACCTTTCCACTCTCTACCTCTATCATAATAATCTTTCTGGCACTATTCCTAAAAAGTTAGGGAATTTGAAATCTCTTGTGGTCTTACAATTATATGAGAATCAGCTCAACGGTTCAATGCCCCAAAATATTTGCTGTAGTGGACAACTCCAAAACCTTTCAATGATGAATAACCATTTGACAGGTCCAATCCCCAAAAGCTTGAAAACATGCAAGAGCTTAGTTAGAGTTCATCTTGAAGGGAACCAATTCACAGGCAATATATCAAAAGACTTTGGTGTTTATCCAAATCTTGATTTCATAGATACGAGTCACAATAAGTTTTATGGTGAAATTTCACAAAAATGGGGACAATGTGCCAAATTAGAAACCTTACTAATTGCGGGAAACAACCTTACTGGTAGTATACCTCCCAAGATTGTCAATGCTGACAAAATGGAAAAAAAAATAATAATAAAAAAATGGAAAAAAAAAACCAATTATAAACATGCGAACTATAGTAACATCTAATTTAATAAGTAATACCAATCGAGATGTTAATGAATTACTAAAAACTATCTAATTAAAACAACATGTAGTAAACATGGAAACTGCGGTAAGAAAACAAATACCATGTAAGATTTACCTCTTTTGCCAAAAAGCCAATCTCTAATACATAACAATGCTTGAACGGTTTCAGGCAATAAACAACTACGATATTGATCGATCACTCTAGCACCAATACTAAATACTAATTCTGAGGTGACAATAGAAACAAGAATTGTTAATACATCACAACTACGATATTTATGGTTTCTCTCAAGTCTTTCTTCATCAAGATATTTACGTAATTCATATTTTGTACTTAAAATTGAGCCCCTTTTGTAACGTTTATCGAATATCAAGAATAAACATATCAAAGAGAGCCCATATCTTGTATTCCTCCGATCGTATACCAACATACAATATAGATGCATACAAAAAGTACAAAAACACCAACAATAAGCATTAATTTGACCTCAAAAGTTTAGTTTGACCCAAGGTCTGATTCATTGGATTTGAATGATGACAAGGTACTTCTACATGAAGTTGAAAGGCAATATGAAAATTTTATTATGATGCATCAATGAGCAACTATTAGCAAGCTAATAGTCCGCACTAATAAGAAATCCCTAAAACCACCACACTAACAAAATTCTCAAATTTTGAAGAAAAATCCCCACACTAACAAGAAATCCCTAAAACCCAATATTCAACTATAGTTGAAAATCGAAATTAAGCCAAAACGAACCTTCATTACCCAAATTAAGCTAATAGTTTAGTAACCCAACAAGAAAGACAAAGTAAAATCACCTCTAGATGACTGTCATTGATTCAACGCGGAGAGAGCGCGAGCTGCTTCATATTGTTCTAAATTGAGAGAGAGAGAGAGAGAGAGAGAGAGAGAGAGAGAGAGAGAGAGAGAGAGAGAGTGATAAATCGTTAGAGGACGGAAGGCCGAATGCCCAAGTGAGAGATCGTGAGAGGGGAGGGGGCGGAGTGGCAGAGTAAGATTGTGAGAAAGCAGAGTGAGAAAAGAGGGCAGAGTCGGCGGAGCAAGAGAGAGATTGCAGACTGTATCTCTTTGATAGGAATTTGAAAATTACAAAACTAACCCTCTTTAATGGGTGATTTATGATTACGGGTTTTTTGGGATTACTCGAGACCAACTATTTTAATCGAGCTTGTTAAGTCTTTCCCCATTAATTAAAATTTTGCGAGCAAATTGAGTCGGGTTAGTTTGTTCAAAATTTTCGCTCTTTATCTTCGGTTTAGTTATTATAATATATACAAACTAATAGTCCCAATATTGCTATGGTGTTATTATGAGCAGAACTTGCATATACCATGGAAGTGAACGAAAAATGCAATGTTTATAGTTTTGGAGTGGCTGCTATGGAAACAATCATGGGAAGGCATCCTAGTGATTTTTTCTCATCATTCTTATCAGTGTCTTCTTCGTCCACGTCGTCATTAGCATCAACATTACCATCCCATCAAATGTCAGTTGTGGATGTTTTGGACCAACGCATTTTGCCTCCAACGCATCAAGAAGTAGGGGAAGTATTCTCTCTTATGAAGATTGCATTTTCATGTTTGAATCCCGGTCTGCATTCTCGCCCTACAATGAGACAAGTTACTCAACTCATCTCAACTCAGAAGTTGCATTTGTCGAAGCCAATACGTATGATAACTTGTGGTGAATTGCTTGCTTTAGATCCTTTGACGGCCTGAGCAGCAGAGAGTGTTTGTTTCTGATAAATAAATTTCGAGTCTTCCTTTCAGAAGAAAGATTCTTCGTAGATGTTTTTGTATTGTAATTTATTTTTATGCACTGGTTTGCTGGGGCTCTAGTCACTTTATGCAGAACGCTTAATGTTTTTTAATTAAAATTGTGTTTACGCCTGTGAGGAAGAAATAGAAGTTAATAAAACAAAGAATTTGTTTCATGCACAGGGACAATGACTGGCTGAAAATGCAATGGCCACACTTATATTAGTATTTCTATTTATGTATAGGGACAAACGTAAAGTTATAGACAAAAGCAACCAAGAAGTAGACCAAAAGCAATCGGGTTCTGGACGAAATAGCCTGCGATAGGTCTTCACATGAACTCCTTGTGGCAAGGCAGGCTTATCACTCTCTCTACAAGAAATCCCTCGAGGAGGATGTTGGGCATCACACAATTGGGGACTGCCACAACGTAAAGTTGCTAGAGTATAACTTTTTCAATATATTATATTATATAGGGTAAATTTAGGGTTCTTTAGAAAAAAACCCTTGAAACTTCTATTTTTTAATAAAAACCCCACCTATTATTAAACATCCAAATAAAACTGTAATTTCAAATAGAATACCATGTAGACAAATATGTGACCAATTACTATCACATATTTACAACTTATGCCACAAACCCTAATTATGTCAATAAATATTATTACTCACCCTAATTATGATTAGCAATTAACCCCATATGGAAATTTTACCTTTCTTGTATGATAAATATTAGGAACATATATATATATATATTAATTTAGCCATGTTCATAAATAATTATGGGCAAATTTTTCAAATGGAAAAAAAAAATCCTTTGTACAATCAGTTATTTTGCATCAAATAATAATATTTTTTGAGAAAAACAACAAAGAACCAATTAAGATTCTTTTATGTTGTAGTGAATTATTTTACCTAGATTATTACATACATTACGCATTTTTTATTTGTTATCATATATGCTTGTTAAAAATAATTTATCAATATTTATATGTCAAATATAAGTAAGTTAATTTTGAATCAAATAGCATTTATTTTCTAGGTAAATTAAAATGGTAGTTCCATTATTTTGGTAAAGTCAAATAGTGCCTAAATTATTTCGTAAAAATTAAACTCTCCATTAAAATAAAACAATAGATATTCGAAAAAAATAAAAATAAAAATAAAACAGTAGATACGTTATTTTCTTATAAAATTAAACAATAGGTAAACTATATTGTAGTACATTATGTTTACAATATTAAAAAAGAAATTGAAATTCATAAACAAAAAGTAGTAGATATATTATTTGCATGATTAGACCCAAGTTCTTTGCATGGTTTTCCACAACACAAAAACGACACGAATACGAGAAATATGATACGAATGTCAGGTCTAGTTTAGACCTAAGTTCTTTGCATGGTTTTCCACAACATAAAAGCTGATAATTCAATTGTTGAAAGATGTCAAGAAAGGCAATGAAAGGATCAAATGGATGGACAGAGAACCTTATGCATACTGGAAAGGGAACCCTTTTGTTGCCGATACGAGGAAAGACTTAGCTCAAAAACACTTGACTGGAATGCTCGCCTATTCATCCAGTACCATTAAAGATAAAAACTAATTTCATTTAAACAAATGGCATATGTTATCAACAACATTAACTTTTGATTGAAACAGTGCCCGCCGTCCAGCGTCTTCGAATCTTCGGTCTCTCCGTCTTCCAAGTTCCAAGCCTTTCTCTTCGTCTTCTTAAGTTCTTCGCGACCAGACTACAGGCTAAGGCTGCACCGTCCACCCACACCAGATCCAACGGTTCACACAGACCTGCCTGCCTCCACCACCACCTGACCACCATCGCCCATCGGATGATCGCCGATCTAATGCCGATGATATTAAATCCCGACTCCAAAGCCCAACCCAAATGCGCAGCCGTGGCGAAGCGAGTTTCAAATGCATCCGCATTGACTCACGGTGTCAAGTCGGTCTTTCGGTTCGTTCGATTCGCCGAGATCGAATTCCTCTTTCGTTGTCTTCATCATCGCTTTTATCATTTTCAAAGATCTCGTAAATTCCCCATTCCTTTTTTCTCATATTTCTTCTGATTCTATGCTTAGATTCCTAAGTATGGTTTTGGTTAATTATGTAATTTTAATTTTCTAGAAATTGATTATGTTCATATAATTATACAGATTCTTCAAATTTGTTGACTCGTGCTGATTGAGTTGGGCAAAACTTTTCTAGGCATTTGATGTGATGATAATTAAAGAACCGACGCTGGCTGATGATCATATGGATGCTATGGAAGAATAGGAACGACGCTGTCTGGAATGGGGCTCGGGTGCCGCAGGAGCTGGTGGTCAGAACAGAGGGTTGGTTGCAGGAGTACCAGAAGTGGCATAAAACTGGAACGGAAAAATCCATTAATCCCCCGCAGATATGGCGGAGAGCTGAAGTTGACTGGGTCAAGTGTAGTTTCGACGGAGCGTGGATCCAGCAGGGTTCGAGGGGAGGCTTTGGTGCTGTTATGCGAGATCATGGGGGAGTTTTCATTGCTGCAGCTGCGAGTTAGATTGGTTGGACATGTTCCGCGTTCCATGCTGAACTTTTTCCTGCTCGTCAGGCTGTGTTGCTGGCCCAAACGTTTTGCCCTGTTGGTAAAAGGATGATTTCTGAAGGTGACTTTAGCCTGGTTTTGGCTGCCATGAAGGATCAGGAGGAGGATTGTTCACTTTTGGGGCCTATCATTAATGATCCGCGTTTTTTCCTCAGTCGTTGGTGAACTATGTGCAACGGGGAGGTAACTCGGCTGCGCACAGGTTTGCTCGAGTGTAGGGTGTGAATAAAACAATCATTAGATTTGTTAGAGCTTCCCTGGCTTGGAACCCGTCGGCCTCTCGCACCTCTGCCTATGTCCTTCTATATTGCTTTGCCATTTAGCATATCTTATCGCACTTACTTTTGTCCCCTTTTCACTATAGTTGCTCGTGACAAACTAATGAAAACAACAATAAATCTTCATGGACAAATTGTAGAGAAAGACAACGGGCACACAAAAGAAACACAAGAGCATGAAATAAAAATGTTAATTTGACTTCAATTCTTTTGCTCTTATTTTTTCCTCTAATAATAGTACAAGTTTAATTTCTTTTTCTTTTTAGTACAAAATGTTAATGTGGATGATAGAAGTTGATTACATGGGTAATGAGAGGATAAGTAATGGGAAACTGCTAAATCCTTGTGTTAATGTATGTGTGTTTGTTCCTTTATTTTTTACTTGGATAAGAGGATTTGGATAATAATTTAGATATAAGAGTTATTTACAGGTAGAAGGGGCATAATATGGCCTCCTAATTTAGTATTTTGCTAAAAAGATTTAATTAATAAGAATACACCAAACAAGGCAGCTCTTCATAATCAACAAATTTATATTAAGTCTTTTTTTAAAGGGGGCGGGTACTAGCGGTTCGAGGCGGGTACGGGGCGGGTCCATAGTATTTTATATACAAAACAGGGCAGGTCCAATATTTTGAAGACACAGCCCCCGATTCGGGGCCGATCCGAATCGTATCCAATAAAGTGTCGTCTCACATACACACACTCAAATCTCTCACACACACACACACACATCACATCACTTTCTCAAAGACTCTTCCAGACTCGAACTGAAACTCATCTCCTTAGTCCTCCCTCTCAATCTCTCTCTCCCAGAGTCCAGACTTACTCTTATCCCACTCGATTCTCAGTCTCTTTGTCGAACTCGAATGGACGAACAACGAAGTCAGTCTCTCTCTATCGTACTCGAGGGGATGAACAATGAAATGGAAAAAATCATATTAAAATTCTATAATTGCTAGTCAAGTGAATTTGGAGAATGTTTTGATTGTCATTGATCTCTTGCTTTAATTATTAAATCATTTGTCTGTTGGCATATTAAGAGTTGTTATATGTGCAACTGAATTATGTAGTACATTACATTTATATCATTTGAATCTTATGCAGGATGATAAAAGAGAGAGGAATTGCATTCATACGAGCTTTGCACTTATCCTCCCATTAGTCACGTGATTATTTATAAGAAAATGAGAAGGGTATTTGGTGAGAATCAACGAATAATTATTGCACAGTTGGATCTTAGGTCATGTTTTGCCTTTTTTCGAAGGCGGGGTATGTTAGAGATGGGTATTTGATGACGTCACGTGTTGATCCTGGACATATGTCGAGATCAGGGCGTGACAGTTAGCACAAATGAGCATACATAGTAATCTAGATGTCATGAATACTATATGAATTAGAGGAACTAGACCGTCAATTTTGATGATTACTCATTAATAATTAACTGTAGGAATTGAGTTGGATTGGTTATGGTGAATCGGATGCTCTAGTGTTTTTCACAATTGAATTATAATTTATTTACTTTGTCATTGTCATCACTTAGCTAAGTTCATTTCATTTATTTACAATTACAATTTCAAAATTCTTATTCAAATCATCAATTTTTCTATTCCAATTCAAGTGCAATACAAATTAAGTTAGATAATTAGAATTATTTCAATCTTAGTTGGAACAATCTTGTGCTTGCTTACTATACTACTTAACGATTTGTACACTTGCGAGCATTAAAATTTGGACTTAATTGGGTTGATTTAGGTTAATCTAATTTTGGCAACACTCCACATTCAAATATTTCAATATTGAACGTATCCAAATTTTGCCACGTGGAAAATCAATGCAGAAGGAAAGGGAGGGTGGGGTACTAATAATTGGAATGGTGTGTGATGAGAATATTCTAGCGTATTACTGAAGTTTGGAAAAGAAATTGCACTATTCATATTGCATTTGGAATGGGCCCTCAATTTTGAGCTGATTACATATGTGCCATTGGTCTTTTCGTTTTATTTGCAAGACTGCCACTGCTGGGTTTATGGAATTAGGCTGGATTACAAGTATGTGAGCTCAATGAAAGTATTGGTCCAGTGGAAGACTTCATTGTGAGGAGTGCATTATGTAATTGAGAAATTTAGAATATATAATTTATCTGTGTTGGCATTTCAATTAGAATTACTCACCTCTGTTTCACTTAGAATTATAATAAGCTTCTTCCGGTAGGATTGGCATGTGGGTTCGTCGTTGTTGTTTAACTTTTATATCTTTCAAACCTAATCTTTCATTTAATTTTCAATCACGCAGCAATGTGTGGGTAGTGGGTCCCTAAGTTATAACATATGCTTCTCTTACACGTGTTGGTTTCTAATTGATTATAGTTTATTAGACGACTTTAGAGTATTCCTTGAAGCTTGTGAATGTGATCCTCAACGGCTCTAATTTAGGAGAAATTATATCATCAAGACACAAAACTTCACGCCAACCATGCACGCTTGATTCCCAGATCCACACCTACCCAACTCTCTGGTCATACCCTTTCTCTTTTTTGCTTTAATCCAATTTCGGATAGAAGAACTTCTCCTAATTTAGGTAACTTAATTTCAGCATCTTCACGATAAAATCTGCACATTGGTGACTTTGCTTGATAACGTTATTATCTTATTTTGATACAACGATATATCTATACTAGGGTTTTTATTACAAGAACAAACATTTTTTTATTTACCAAACACAATTAAGGACTCAACTTTTTCAAGAAGCTGTTTTTTTTTTTACTGATTCTTAATAATCTTTAGATGATTGCCCCAAAGAGATAAGACGTATAGTTCACCAGCATTACAACTTACAACCGATTCTTTAGATTATTTGATAAATTTGAACATAAAAAATAAATGAGAAATGAAGAAGAGGGCTTGAGATAGTGATATTTGAGAAGAAGAAAGATTGACAATTCCACACATTTGGGACAACCGTTATTATGAGTGGAAGAGGATCCTCTCTGGGTTCACTTTGTGGGGGATCTTAGCGATCCCCACATCCTAACCGTTCATCGTACATCGTGCCGTCAATTTTTGTCAGGTACTATTTGTGTTTAATTTAAAAAAAAAAAAAAGTCAAATGATTTATGACCGCACGATGAATGATGAATAGCTAAGATGTGAAGATCACAAGAATTCTCACAATTTGGATTTGAATGGGATTCAAATCCAGAAGGAGTGGGGTGGGCTCCATAAAACAAATGGTGCACTATACTAACTGGCGACAATTAAAGACTTTTGACTTGGAATGAGTAAATTTATGGAAGACTCCATCAAGAGACATTGAGTCATGAAGATGTCATTTTCTTGTGGAAAACAAAATATTTTGTCACAGTCATATGAAATAAAGGAGAATACTAAAAATAAAACTGGAAGTATCAATTAAGATCATCAAGCTCTTATTCTTTGAAGAAAAAAATTGAAATAAATTGCCAAATTGCATTTATGGCCCTTGACTATGAATTCTTAATTTCTCAGTTTAATTATTTATGAATTTTCATTCAAGTTGAGTATCATTTTGTTGTGCTTATGAGCTTGATTTTAATCTTGGTGATTGGCCACTACTTTGGTTTGAGTTGAGTGTATTTGATGTGAGTTAACACAAATGTCATGTTGGGAATTGAGTTGGATTGGTTATGGTGAATCAGATGCTCTAGTTTTTTTCACAATTGAATTATAATTTGTTTACTTTGTCGTTGTCATCACTTAGCTAAGTTCATTTTATTTTATTTACAATTACAATTTCAAAATTCTTATAATCATCAATTTTTCTATTCCAATCCAAGTGCAATGCAAGTTAAGTTAGATAATTAGAATTATTTCAATCTTAGTTGGAACGATCTTGTACTTGCCTACACTTGTGAGCATTAAAATTTAGATTTAATTTGGTTGATTTCGGTTAATCTAATTTTGGCAACACTCCACATTCAAATATTTCAATATTGAACGTATCCAAATTTTGCCACGTGGAAAATCAATGCAGAAGGAAAGGGAGGGTGGGTTACTAATAATTGGAATGGTGTGTGATGAGAATATTCTGGCGTATTACTGAAGTCTGGAAAAGAAATTGCACTATTCATATTGCATTTGGAATGGGCCTTCAATTTTGAGCTAATTACGTATGTGCCATTGGTCTTTTCGTTTTATTTACAAGACTGCCACTGCTGGGTTTATGGAATTAGGTTGGATTACAATTATCTAAGCCCAATGAAAGTATTGGTCTAGTGGAAGACTTCATTGTGAGGAGTGCATTATGTAATCGAGAAATTCAGAATGCATAATTTATCTATGTTGGCCTTTCACTTAGAATTACTTACCTCTGTTTCACTTAGAATTATAATAAGCTTCTTTTGGTAGGATTGGCATGTGGGTTTGTTGTTGTTGTTTAACTTTTATATCTTTCAAAAATAATCTTTCATTTACTTTTCAATCCTGCAGCAACGCGTGGGTAGTGGGTCCCTAAGTTATAACATATGCTTCTCTTACACGTGTTGGTTTATGATTGATTATAGTTTGTTAGACGACTTTAGAGTATTCCTTGAAGCTTATGAATATGATCCTCAACAGCTCTAATTTAGGAGAAATTATATCATCAAGACACAAAAATTCACACATACCCGACGCCCTTGATTCCCAGATCCACACGTACCCAACTCTATGGTCATACCCTTTCTCTTTTTGGCTCTAGTCCAATTTCGAAGCACAGTGGTAACTTTATTTGATAACGTTATTCTCTTATTTTGATACAACGATATTTCTATACTAGGGTTTTTATTACAAGAACAAACATTTTTTTTTTATTTACCAAACACAATTAAGGACTCAACTTTTTCAAGAAGCTGTTTTTTATTTTTTTTATTTTTTTTTAAAAAAAAAAAAATTAAGCAACCCTAAATTGGCCATAATTAAGTTTTCAAAAATTAATGCTCATAGAAGTTGAACATAATACCTTTTATTTATAAGTAAAGAGATAAACATCACTACATAGTATGTGTTACAACTTACAACTGATTCTTAATAATCTTTAGATGATTGCCCCAAAGAGATAAAACGTATAGTTCACCAGCTTTACAACTTACAACTGATTATTTAGATTATTTGATAAATTTGAACATAAAAATAAATGAGAAATGAAGAAGAGGGGTTGAGATAGTGATAGTCCAATTTCGGATAGAAG